ACAATAATTATACTGGCTGAACGCGTCTGCATGGGGAATTTTTCACACCTCGGAGCAGCGATAACTTCGATAAATCAGACTACGTCCAACGATTGTCTGCATTTATGCGAGCACTGCCCCCGGTGTCAACTCGAGTTCAACATCGACAAGTCGCTCTCCCCCGAGAGTTATCTACCTGCTCACATGTTTTCATTCGAATCGATTCGGTCCGCAAACCTCCGAAACAACCTTACGAAGGACCTTTTCACGTGATTTCTCGTCACGAAAAGACCTTCAAGGTTGCTCGACATAGCCGCGTCGAGATAGTCAGCCTTGATCATCTCGAGCCAGCACACGTCGATGACAGTGCCCTAATTGCTAATCCGAGACCCGATTCTAGACCTAGCGGGATCCTTAAAACTACCCCGGATCCCACGCAAGCGAAATCAGAGACCTAAATCTCACGTCCCAGTCAGCAGCACGCGCCATCTGCACTATCGACGGATGAAACTCCGGTCTCACGTCAAGATCGGCAGACCACGCCGCACTTGACTGCGGATGAGAATGCAGGCTCACATGGTACGCACGAGGCTACTGTCTCGCGTTCCGGTAGCCGCGTACGCCTACCTGTACGCTTTCTCGAATAACTACTAATCCTCCACAGGTGCGGCATAGGATTTTCCCATCATACTACATGCATGCTACACTTTTTCTCCCTTTCTTTGATTTTTTTTATTCCGAGCCTATACCTCCGACCATTGACCTGTTGGTGCCGTCAACTTCAGTCAACCTTGGCGAAAGCTGGCCTGATCATCCACGCTCTTGTCAATGCACTCAGTCGATTTTCTGGTTACGAATATATCTGGAATACGAATGGCTTTGTACTGATCGTTTCTGGCTCTTTCGCTCAATCTGGTTCCGTCCTACCTCTGCAGCTTAATCTGGTCCTAACCCCTACGAACGCAATCCTCAGACTCTGGATATGAGCCACGCTGGTGTGGCATGCCAATCCGATAGAAAAACGTGGCAAGTAATTAATGGCACGGCAGCGGACAAACTCCCGTTGACAAATCGAGCTTCATCAGTCGCTTCCTGTCGTCAGCCTTTCTGGCCGACAAGCCCCCTGAACGCAGCCGCTACTTATAGAAAGTATAAACCCTTTCTAGGGGGGGGCTCCTGTAATGGAACTACTTTGTGAAGAAAAGATGATTACTGACGTATAAATACTTATCACTGAACATATAAAACAATAACTGTTTTATTGTACACCTTTCGTTTATCTGTAGTTGAAGTCATTATTCGAGCGCCACCCACGACAACCCTGCGGACCTATCGATTGTTTTGTGCTAACAATGATTCTACTGGCTGAACACGTGATATTATTTCGATATCACTCGACCTTCCATCAATAAATATCGATATCCTATATACAATCTTCTGTTCTGGAATACGTGTGGGCGTTTAAACTTCGCAACCCCCACTATTTCCGATCCTAAGCAACCGTCAGGTATTAAACAAACCTTTCTGCTAACGAAGATAAATTCAGAAATATTGGATAGAGAGAAATTCAAGCAGGTTTTCGGATTTATATGGTGAGTTGCAGGTGGTATCCTTTCCACAAATAAGATATTACCACACGAAGCTTCACAAGTTGAACATAATATGATATACTCTTTAGTAAATTCATTCATTGTAAAATAATCAAATACAATGATTTATAAAGGTCGATGATACTTTCCACTGATAATCCTGGTTACTAAAATGATTTCAAACTCTATGTCACAATCACTTGACTATTTCTCTGACATTGAATGGATGATAATTGGAAATCGATCTTAAAAAATCATTACAAGGTTAGGAACCAAATTACCATGTTTCTTCTCAGTTTCATCGCTAATGTACTGGATTCATTGTTTGAATAATTTTTAAAAATCTTCGGTAGTCTAAAATCGTTTGTAGTTATACAAAACACTTCAGTTTCGGTAAATAAAAGAGCCTTAAGAATAGACCTTATCCCAAACTTCTGCATGTTGGTTTTCTTCTAATAAAAAAGATTGTGGAAATCAGTGACTTAAAACACCTGCAAACTGAACACATAAACTTAAACTGACGAACACACAGTCAAGGATAAATATGAAAGTAACGAAACGACCATGAAATCAGTTACAGTGGCCAACTATAGGTTGTAGCTATGCTGATGAAGTTAGGATTATTTGTCGTGTTATATTGTACGTTGCTTACATTAAAATGCCCCCAGCACTCATTTAAACAAGCTTAACTTGACTTCGGAAAACGTTTTTAGTCTCGGTAATTCGCAAAGCGATCTTAAAAACTTTTGAAAACGTCACGTTGCCCTACGAGTGAATATTTAGTAAATTTCCGAATCACTTAGAATTGTAGATAGTCACAGGAGTTAATTTACTTAAAAAGCCAAAACGATTCCTACCATCCAATCTATTAACCTTCGCTTCGAACATATGAGTGTCCCGACGTCTTTATATGTCAAGACTAAACATGATTAACTGCATCAGAGGAACTCATAACGCAGTAGGTCGTTATTAACTGAGTTTAATTTGGTCTCACTTGAACTGGGAATGCACAATGGTTTATTCCTTACATCAACTTCAATGCACTTCAGAAATATGCATCTCGGCTTCCTCAACCTTTCGGAGTCATATAAGAAACATGATTGAGGCATGTTGTAAGACAAGTCTAATAAAAATATTATAAACAGTTGTTAGTGGAAGGAGGGTAGATATTTAGTTTTATGGACAAGAATTCCATTGAACCATTATTCAAAACTAATCGATTGAAATGTCAACGTTCATTTGCATAGTCCTACAAAAAACGTGCTTATTGTTTTTCATGATTTCAAAGTCTAGGAGCCACCAAGAAAGAAATCTAATTTAACGATACTTTATGACGCCGAGCTGATTGAGCCACTATGCGAAGTTCATAAGATTCGATCTTAGCAGGTATATTTATGACCAAATAATTTCATATATATAAGTGAAAGTTTTATTTTGTTCCTTCTTAAAGGAAGCTTGTTGAAATAAACAGTACTGTGATTTTTATAATAGATAAAACAGATGAAATTGAATAAATTCATAATTATTACTATAAAATGTCATATGCCATTACCAGATCACCGCACATCCTTCTATAACTAAGCGAAAAACAATCACAAGACTTGTGGCCTATCTTCGTAACGTTTATTTTTCAAACGTATCAGCAATTTAGTTGCCCGTCTGTACACTCTGTCGAAGAGAGGGTGAAATAACGTAACGAAACTTTAGGAGAGTCTAGCAACCACCAAGAAGCAACTCTAATTTAACAATACTTTATATCGCTGGGTTGATAGATTCGCTTTGGGCAGTTCATAAGATTCGATCTTCGCATGTATATTTATGACCAACTTGAGACACGTCCTGCGTATCAGGCATGTTGATGATGCATTGCTTGTATTAGTCACAAACATGCTTAATCTTTTTAACCATGCACATCAAAATATACGATTTAAAGTGTAGCATGAGCAGGACAATAAGTTTCATTTTATAGACCTTGGCATTTAACGCAATGAAAATGACGAGATTTAAAATGCAATTCATCGAGATTACATGCGGAATAAAGTTTATTTGAGGCTTAATAGCTTCCGCACGATAAGTTAAAAAAGAGTTCAAGTTAGGATCCTGTTCAATCAAGTACAAAAGTTATGTTCACAAGACGAGTTGAAGAGGGTAGAATGATTGTTGAAATGGTTCTGGGGTGTATTAGTTATCCACGAAAGTGTATCAACAAATATGGGAAGATAAGTGTGCTACAATAGTGTAAAGCCTGCCTCTTTATACGAAATGGATTTACAAATGATTAGGTATCTGGTGAGATTGATACTAAGCTAGGAGTTGCATTACAGGACTTATCAAGCAGCAAATCTGGTCTCAATATAACGAACGGAGTGCTCGTTGAAACGTTCGACATTCGCCATTTTTTTACCTCCGAATGAGTTTACCGGTTTACACATACGTGCCGAAACATTCTTTGGTGGAAGAGAAAGGGGAATTAATGTTTGCATTAATGAGCATATTCCTCGAAAATTTTCAAAGTCTTGACTGTTTGTCACTTGTTTGCTAGTTGACATGACGTTGAGACTTCAAAATTGTTCAAATCCACTAATAAACGAACTTACCACATTTTGCCGAAGCAACTGTGATCTAAAGACATAAACCAGACTTATGCATTCAAATTCTCACAACTACCACTCTCCCTGTCGAACTTCGTCGAAATTGCTGGTTTTGAATTTGAAACATTGAGTTTTCGTTTCGTTTCATACCTTTATCAGTTTTATCTTGGCTTGACCCCAATTACATATCATGATCAATCCATCTTTGTTATTAGTATCATGCAACTCTGAATGTCAGTAGTTTCGTCTAGAATTTTTATATTTATTGTTATACAACTATTCTAACATTTGAACACTTTTTATCATTCGTTCATATTCATTAGCGTTATATTGAGCCTTATTGATGAGAACACTTCTGATATTGTGATATAAGGCATGTACACTAGTTTTTACTGAATAATAATACTACTACTATTGTGGTGTGAGCTACTTATAAGTAGTATATGACGTGAGTGTCAACGTAATGTCTGGCAGCAGAAGATGGGGGAAGATCAAGAAAGGAAGAGTTAGAACACAATGGAATTTGTATGAAACGCATGAATAGTGACAATCGATTGATGTTTTGCAACAGGAACAGTCCAATTTGATATGATGGACTGATATTTTGCAAATTAACGATTTACGATATGGTTTTCCAATTTTACTGAGTAACACTGTAATTTTCGTTAAATACAATCCGGTTGCCCCACCTGTGTTCTCGTTCACTACACACACTATGTTTAGGTTGAGAAAACATGAAGTAAAATGAATTTAGGCTATTCTGTCATATCTGTTTATCTAGTTCTATTTAAATTGTACAGAGGTGGAGAGCAGTTAAACCGTTTAATAAACTGTTCCATTCATCGTTTAGACTCTTGGGTTAGGTGGACTATTTTCCTTTCTTTTTATGAAATAATCTCACTAACTCTTGGATTCTTGATACCTGTAATCCATTTAGTAAATTTCTTTTTACCTTGTTCATTATGATTACCTATCACTACTTTTGAGTATGATCATACAATTATGATGTGTTGTATCATCTTTGCTTCACGAGATGTCCGCCACAAACATACACCATTTATGTTATTTATTCCTGACAGATATACGTCATACATTTGGACTAAGGAAGTTTTATTTAGTACTGCTCTAATGCGACTGCGATGTGCCTCCTCATTAGTCCAATTAGACATGGAAAACCAAAGCCAACGGAAATACTGAATAACTTTTTATTTCCGAAATTTGTACACTTTTCGACAATCGTTAAAGATATAAGCTCGCAGAGAAAATAATATCTCTTTTAATCAGGATTACAGCTGAAATGAAAATAGATTGAAAATAAATGTATACGTACAGAAGTCTAGAAAGAAAATCAAACATGTCTGGTACTACTATATACCTTGACAGAATAAAAGTAACTCAATATTCGGCGTTACGTGTTCCCGGTGTTACGAACACTTTTTCCCACTTCATGTGACACAGGTAGACTACTTCCAACGATGAGTTATGTTGTATAAAGATAAATGAATTATTATCGATGGAACTTTATCAAATATTAGAAACGATTTAAAGGTATGCTGTTTTCAACAGGTTTCCTGAAATACTGATCCTTTGAAGAGGTAAATCTCCGCTAAAATTATATCTACACTATGAAAAATGTAGTACTGCCTAGACAGTTGTAATTTGTGGTCGTTACTATTTAACTGCTATTATTTTTAACGCTAACAATTTATTTCGGCTTGGGATTTTAAAAATCCATGATAGTGCATGCATCACAAAGAGGAAGGGATAAACATACCTTCTAAAAACTTATTTTCCAATTCTGAGTTTCCTGCTACTTTTGCTGCATTATGCATTTGACGTAGAAGTTCTTCCAACCTTCTGATACATCTAATCACACTACCTTCGAACGCACTTGTCAATTCACAAAGTCGAGAAAAACTCACACCTTCAGCCCAAGCACATACAACATCCATTAAGTCACCGACGAAACGATTAACGTAAGCTTGTTCATCATCCAAAAGACTATTTCTGCTATCCCCAGCATTGTGGACCAAAGTCGTTGGTTGTTTCTCATCGTTACTGTGGTGCGTGTAACGCTCACTAACAATATTGCATTCAGCAGACATTTTCGCAAGATATCGTGCCTTATCCTTCAAAAATTAATAATATGCAAAACTGTGTCACTGAGGTGGAAAGAAAAAGCAATAACCAGTATGGAAGCCGTAGCTTACATAAGTAAAAGTTTTACAAATAAACTGATGCTTATCATAGCCAAGTGACACGACAGGACGTCATCCAATATCTGAGAACTAACATCACTTTGAGTAATCACAACATATCGATGGTTTTCTGGGCAATGCTTAAACTGTAATGCTCATCGCTAGAATATGAACGACCGAACTTTCCAAAATGTACATCGTATTTTTGCAGACTATACTAGATTGATCACAGTTTTATGGTAAATACCAATCGAAAAGTGGTTTGTCAAATCTCAGGAGCAATAATTTATGTGGTACTTGATAATTAAAAACTAATTTTAGACTATTGTAGGAGTGAATACCTGACAGGCCAAACAAACAGGACAGGTCTTTTGAAGCTAGACAACGTACTTTATTTGCGTGGTAAACCTAAGTAAAGTAAATGATACTATTGGTTTGGTTCAAAATGACTCATATGCGCAAACTTTAGGTGTCTTGAATCCTGAAAGGTTCGTACCATTAAACAGATAATCATACTTTTACGCAAGTTTTCCCCTTCTCTAATTTGGCTTACAAAACATGAGGAGTTTATGTGATCGTTAACTGGAACAACTGACCAACTAATTTGAGCTTACGTTTAGTAAAATTTAACCCCGCCAGTAGAACCTTCGGGGCTACTGCCGGTCCCAAGCCCGGGTAAAGGAGGAGGGTTGGACATGGGGTTGGCGACCCCATTCCGTCGAAATCTATCTTGCCAAAAAAACGCGTACCAGAAAAAATAATTCAAACCATTTTAACTCTGCCCTGGGATTTGGAAGAAGAATTATGACGTCGCGTGATGAAAGCCGAGTTCCCTCGGAAGTCACGGGGTTGATGCCTCTTCTGACAACCAGAGCAACCACTCTTTTAAGTACATAGAACGTTCGCACATTGTGGGAGACTGGAAGAGACTGGCGAGTAGCGACTTTTGGGATTTGAAGAGCGCTGGTGGATCTTACTTTATCATTAATGTCTATATTCTCCTGGTTGTTGAATTCATTCTCCGTCAGTCGCTCCATCATACGTCTAGCAGAAGTTTGGATTCCTAAGTGTCATAGTCAATGAAAATTCTTAATTCTCCATATGAAAATATGGAGGACGAATGGATGGTTGATTTCATTTGAGTCACCGCAAATACTTGTGGAATCTGGGAAATGAATCGGGATACGTTTGTGTAGTAGGTTGGTTTCTTGGAGTCAGATACTCAAATCCACGTCATTCATTCGAAGTTTTGCTGTCTCTTCCACGTTAATTTCGATTCTTGATAAAACGTCACCTCCAGTAAATTTTGTTAGATGTGTTCTAAGAGGTACGATATAATAGCCTAGTTATGTGGATGAATTCCGATTTTATGGTACACCGAAAATTGGCATAGCAGATTGCGTCTAATTGAAACAGTGAATTCGTTGCATTGTAGCAGTTAGTGGGAGTGTCTGGTTGTTGTACTGTGGCGTGACGTCTTTTTATTCAGACTTTAAAGCTGCTAGGCTGCTCCTACCGAGGTTTTTTAAGCATGAGTACATCAGATTATTCGTAATGTTAGGGTTCAGATAGGCCAAGATAATAATATAAAGCGAAAATCGTATAAGACTACTTCAGCCTTTGGTAGGTTCGCATTTACCCGGGAGGTACCTTGTGTGGTTAGGGAGTGTGAGGAGCGGCTAGTCAGGTAATCAGGAGTGAGAAAGAATGTGAGAAAATTCGAGCTGAAAACAAAATAAGCACATCGAATTTGACGTGTCTTCGCTGACTCTGTTCCACTTACGGGATACTTTATCACCTCCGAAGCTATAAAAAGTTGTCACCATTCATTGGTTGACAATCTGAAAACATTTTCGGGCAAACGGAACCATTCCAAGTCAGAACCATTGTGCGGTAGGTCTAGCTGCCTCATTCAACTGCTGTTTTCCTAGTTGCTTCGGTAGCATACATACACCCACTCACTCACAAACACAGGACTTGTGGACAAGTTACTGGATACACGTAAAGTTACTTACTAATACGGTCAAAGTTAAAGTTGCAATTTTAGAGTACTTTCAGGCTCTATTCCTTGTAGTTTTATCATACACTATTAAATTTCTTCTTTCATAAATCCCTTTTTTGTGTATCTCGTATTCTAATTATCTCGGGTGAAACGATGTGCAGAAGTCCTCTGTTCACCGATATGCAACCTGTTCAGGCATTCACTGGGGTCACACCAATTCCCAGCTGAATGGAAACCAGCTACTCTCTCTCCAATCTTCAAAGGAGGAGATAGAAAGGACCCAGCCTGTTACACACCAGTCGCATTGCTACCAATATTATCAAAGGTTATAGGAGGGCTGGTGGACGAACAAATGAGAGACTACATGGATAAGAATCAAATGCCCCATGAAGCTCAACACGGGTTTCGGAAAGTCAGGTCGTGTGCATCTAATCTTCTCATCGCATGGGACAGTTGGACATCCTATTTGGACCGTAAGATACCGGAGCACGTAATATTTCTCAACTTTGCAAAAGCCTTTGACACAGTACCCCGCGCATGCCTAGTCGAAAAGGTTGTGGAAATGGGCTTCACTGACCCGTTCCTATCTTCGCTCAGAAACTACCTTGAGAATAGAAACTTTCACACCATGGTAAACAGAGTGCACGCGAGTTGGCGAGTATCCACATAGGGAGTTTCACAGGAGACCATCCTAGGCCCACTTCTCTTCCTGATATTGATTAAAGACCTGCTAGGCTCAGTTAGCTCACTGGCATTGATCTACGCAGACGATGAGGAGATCTGGAGGCCCATTAGAAGCGAAGAGGATTCGACTGTGCTTCAAAAGGACCTTGCATCTATTGAGAAATGGGCAGTGAAAAACGGTTTAAAACTCAACCAACCGAAGTGCCACATCATACATTTCCTGCCTCATGTAATTCCGCTCCCTAATGTCTCCTCAGAGCGCGATCTTGGTTTAATAACCACAGAAAGCCTCCACACCAGTCCAAACTATGTAGGGGATTCAGCAAAGGCAAATACGACTCTTCAATTTATGCGAAGATAGCATGGTGCTATCACCCGAAATTATTTTTAACCCTGTTTAAGAAGTACGCGCGCCCACGCTTGGAGGTTCACAACGTCATCGCACCCCCTCTGCTTAAAAGAGACACAAATCTCTTGGATCGAGTGCAGAGACGAGCAACCAAATGGGTGATAGGGTCGAAAAATAAACCCTACGAGGATAGACTCCAGATTTTTGGATTATTTCCACTGAGCTACAGGAGAATCAGAGGTGATCTGATTATGGCGTACAACATATTAAGCACACTAACCATAACCATCCCAACGTGAGCATCTTACCGATGCATCAACACCACTCCCCTCGAGGCGATCCTCCAAAGATTGAACATCAAAGAGCCAATACTCAGATTCGTGCACACATTTTCTCATTGCGAGTCGTCGCAACTTGGAATGCTCTCCCAGCCGAGGTGGTTACAGCCCCCTCAGTGGACTGCTTTAAGAAGAGACTTGATAATAACGTACTCAGATACGGACTACCATCTCCTTCTTGGACAAGCTGTTCATGATGCATATCTTGAGACCTGCTAGTTGTTATCATTACCATCTCCTCAGATCACTCAGTTATTCTATCTTGCCTATTATGACTGTCTCCTCTCCCTTCCTTACACTTTGGTCCTCTCTCACAGTCTTCACTACCAATTAACAAACTAAATTATCCAGTACTTACTCAGTCCTGAAATCTTCCTAATATTAGCTATAGAATTTTCTCGTTATTATTCTCCGCATTTCAACTAACTGATCTCCGGTCTGGTAATTTGATAGCTGCTGATATCCAGAAACCCACCTGCGCTGAAACAAACGTTTTCATTCGAATCACGGGACACACAAACTTGCAAACCACTGCCAACTGACTAAATTAGACAGTCTAGTGGCTAGACCTCCATCCTCTGGACATTAACGAACACCTGGAACCGTACCGAAAGAACAATAATTGAGCGCGAATAAGTCAAATTAGTTTACACTAGCTCTTGAAGAAGATATTGGATATTGAATGCGTCTGCATTTAATGGAGGGAACAATGGAAAACAATCAGAATTAGCACATGAGATTAAGACAAACTAGTAATCGGAAATAGAAGTTGGTAGAATCAGGTTTCAAATGAATTACAGAGGACCTGTTTGATTTCACCGCTTTATTAGTGCACCAATGTCATTACACCTTCCTGACCTTCAGCCGTCTATAATCGGTGTTTGGCACGCTACGGACGCTTCGTAAGCCGGTAGCTTCTCAGCTAGTACGTGCGATTGCTTTTTCGAATGAAGATGTAATTCTTAGATATGATTTGCCTTTAAAGTGTGACAAGTGGCCCGCATTGGTTCTAAATTTCGATATATTTTTATCGTTTCCGAAATTCTCAGTATTAATGAAGCCTGACATGTGAGGTATTTCGGAGTTTTTATTGAAACAGTTGCAAATGGTAACTATAGGTCTTCTGTCTTCTAGGGTGTCCAGTCCTCTTTTCAGTATTGATGTGTTCATAAAGCTTTTATGTACTAGTTAACTTGTAAAAATTTCCAGGTCTTAAGTTGGTCCGAGGCCAGTAGAGACAAAACCTGCAGGTCATGTCGTGTGAATGAGAATAATCGTAGTATACTTCCATTTTAATGCTTGAGTATACCGGATAAATGATAAACAAGTTATTAACCTGGATAAGTCAAACAACTAGTGGTACAAATGATATACAGTAGCCCGTGGTTAAAAATACTGTTTTTATTCTCCCGAAATCTTGTTTTTCACCAGCAGTGTGTTAATCTCATCGAACTGACGAGTTTTGGCTCGAAAAATCGACTCAAGTTTTTCCTCGTATTGGATTTTGCAAATAGTTTTTAAATTGTGTCGATGTCTACCTGTACAATTGAAGTATTTTAAAATTTTCAGCTAAATTTTACAAGTTATCATGGAATTCCTAAAAATCAATCTGGATGAAGTTGCCTCTGCTTTTCATGAAGCAAAACGTTTTGGAAAAAGGTGGCTTTTGTTAGAATTATTAATTCCTTCTGTTCTAGATGCAAAGAAGCTCCTGATAATGCGATTAAAGTTAAGCGATGTCTCAAAAAGTTCCCAAAGTTTCAAACATACGTGCTCTCGTCAGGGAGTGGTTGCATTCATGAAGTTAGTGTTGTCAGCTAAAATTATTGTTACTTAGGCTGTTTATCCTGCTGGTTGTGCACTCAGTGAATTGAAGAATGTTGAAAATCCTGCAAGGACTTACCCTTTTGCTTTGGATCCATTTCAGCAACGTGCTATTTTATGCATTGAAAACGAGCAATCTGTCATGGTATCTGCCCATACATCTGCTGGTAAAACTGTGGTTGCTGAGTAAGTCACTTGGTTCGGTGTATTCATGAATTATTAGGTATGCAGTTGCTAAAAGCCTGAAGCAGAATCAGCGCGTTATTTACACAACACCTATTAAAGCCCTCAGCAATCAGAAGTTTCGCGAGTTTTCTGAAATTTTTAAAGATGTTGGTCTGATGACTGGAGATATAACCATCAACCAAGAGGCAACTATTCTTATTATGACAACAGAAATATTGAGATCCATGCTGTACAGGTAAGTGGCAAGGCTAAATCATATCCATTGAATCAGTGTTAGTTGATAAACCTCTACATCTAAACTCAATCTTTTCAGTACCGCTGATGACTTCACACAAGATTTTCTATGCTTATGATAACATCTTTACGTTTTTAGATATCTGGTTTACTAAGACACCTACCTGATAAATTCCATTACACTCATCATTTCAGTCAGTCAGCCAAAACATGGAACTTCTTACGTATGTACATCAGTTCAAGTTGCTATACCACATTAACACAGCAATGAAATTGTCAATCCGAAACATATAGTGATATAAGTAGTAGAAGTATACGCAGTAATCAGGAAGATTGAGGTTCGAAGATATTGTACAAGGAGTACAATCCAGCGAAATGAATTTGAGAAGAGTAAGATTAAGGTGATGAGGAATTCTGAAGATTAGACTTTCACAGAACACAGTGAATGAATGCATCTGCGTCATTGCAAACGATTTTGAGCCATGTCGTCCAAGGTCTCTAACTATAGGTTAATATCATCTCGCAGACCTAAATTTGGTAGTCTACACCAGCTGCACGGTTCTACAAACTTAGAGCTAAACATACATACAAAGGCAATCATTTTTACGGCTGGATCAATAGCACGCACGCACCTAAGATGGTCTTTATCAACGTTTTATTTCATCCACCATGCCATCGCCATTACTTAAAATTACCAAGAAACACCATTGTTTTTTAATATTTCGAAGCAATGATTTTTACCGACACTCATGACCAAGATGTTGGTCAGGGCTTTCAAATCTATCCTTTCTTTGATGTGCTTTTGTAGATACAACACTTTCATCATCGGACTTTCCAGAAGTTGAACATTAACCGAGAGTTCCACTTGTTTACTTAAAATAGGCCGATGACATGGTTCTACTTCGCGAAGAAGCTGATAAGATTCACTCTTCTGACTACCCTGAGCGGCAGTGCAAGCATGTTCGTGATGCGATTCTTCTCGTTGAAATACAAAATATAGCTTCAGGATCGACTTGCGTCGGCACCTGAACTGGTGATGGGGAATAAAGCGGTTGTGTGTTGAGCGCTTCACTCATCTCGGAAGTCTCATTTCAGTGCTGATGGCCTGGTAACTGACGGAATCTCAGCACGGATTCATAAAAATCGACTGGCTTTTGTCAACCTGTGTCACTTATGGCGTAGGCGAGATATCCGTCTACTAACCAAAGGATGAGAGTACTGCACAGCAGTTCACTTCCTACTACATGGGTGTGAAACATCGCCACTAAGAGTAGAGAATATTCTCAGGTTGATAGTATTCGATCACAGGTGTCTTGGAAACGTTGCTCGTACATCCTGGGTCCAACGAGTAAGCAATGATATTGTTAGGAAACGCCCAAACGTAGTCTTTACCTTGGCGTGGTGGTCAGACATGCCTATTGTGATGACTCAAGCGAGCTATATTGGCTGGAACATATGTTCCTGTAGGTCCTACCATGCCAGGCAGGTCGATTGGCGAACGATGAGACTAAAAACAGCTACTCAAGATCTGAGGTCTAAATTGTACTGCTGACTGTAGAGGTGTAAGGTGTTTCCTTCGGACAACCGGCATCTGCAGCGATGCTACCTTCTCACAAAGAAGGAAGGGGTTAGAAAAAGTCGACCCTAGAAAGGTCACACCTCACCTTACCTCACGGATTTCCGTCTCCGACGCTAAGGCGTTTTAAACGAGGACGGAGCTTGCACTTTAAATACTACTCACAAAAAGGCTGTGCGTGACCGGCCTCAAGCGGTTGTCCCTTGAGCTCTTCGGTCACGCTCCCAGGTCTCTAAGACCAACACTAATCTACCTTCCTTTTCAGGTTCTTAAAGAAACACCGTTCCACTGTGTGGTCAGCCGGGAAGTGACACCAGCCGTCATACCCGTGCCAGCACACAAGACCAAATTGGTCATGTTAGAACTTCTGATGTTCTGAAATTGTGTCAAATAGGGCAACAGGCCTCCTTAGCCAGGACTTAAGAATCTCGCACCATCGCTGTATGCTGCCTCTCAGAAACGTGCATACAAGATCGGAGTAGCGTCATTCACTTGAGTTAACCTTGTAAAGATAAAGAAGCAACTCGTTTTACTCTTCGCGTATCTAGAAGCCCTGATGATGCTTCCCGAAGTCTTGCTGGTGTAGGTATAGCATTGAGTCATAGGGTAGAACTAGCTCTCGTAGACTGGATCCTAGTAGATAGTCGCTTGTGCGCTGTCCGACTGAACGGGACAGTAAGGACTCGTAAAGATAAGGACACTCGCCATTGCTTCTTTGTCGTATCTTCCTATGTTCCGACTGACTGCAGTTCAGACGAGGTTAAAGATGAGTTTTGCAGAAGGCTTTCGGAACTCCTTCAAAAAGTTAAGCACTTTGATGTAGTAATACTGGCTAGAGACTTCAATGCTCAAATAGGTAGACTAAGTGGAAAAGAAAGACACGTGGGTGGATCTTATGGTGTCGCGGCTAATAGAACAGACAATGGTGACCGTCTGTTGCATGTGTGGTGAGATAACCGCCTATTTCTAGCACACACTAGCTTTGAGCATAAGGAAAAACATCTTTTGACCTGGCCACTCCCAAAGTCATCGCAACGCTGGACCAAACTAGATCACATTGCCTTCAGCCACCGATGGAAAGGTTCGATAGAGGACTGTCGCTGATTCTGGTGCACATGTCTAAATTCAGAACATACTTCAGTGCTAGCACGTATTTGTTTGCGACTTACCGGACGTAGGAAAGCCACCGCTAGAAAACCTCCTAGGGTTCTATCTAATGATAGCTTAGCTACGAATATATTTCAGGGGCAACTAGGAAGACAGTTAGGCGGTCATGTAAGTGACTCCCATCCGCAGGCAGCTTGGAATGATGTCAAAAAGGCTGTGAGAACAGCAGTGATATCTGCTAGTGAGGTCAACCATAAGGCTAGGAAGAAGCCATAGATCTCATTAGCATCCACCGAACTGATAGACGCTCGTCAACTCATTCCACTTGGTTCTGAATATGACGAAGATCGAAGCCAGCTTAGGCGCCGGGTGATAAAAAGCCTACTCAATGGTCATCACCTTAATCTTACTCTTCTCAAATTCATTTCGCTGGATTGTACTCCTTGTACAATATCTTCGAACCTCAATCTTCCTGATTACTGCGTATACTTCTACTACTTATATCACTATATGTTTCGGATTGACAATTTCATTGCTGTGTTAATGTGGTATAGCAACTTGAACTGATGTACATACGTAAGAAGTTCCATGTTTTAGCCTTCGGACTGTCTGACACTTACGAAACGAAAAGCATAAAATTCTTAGTGTTTACAGTTGATATATTGCTTTCTGCAGTTACCAATTTAATGCACTTGCGGACTATTCTTTAACTGTTTTTGGTGGTATGTTTCAAAATTCTCGAGAGTATGTTTTTGTCCTACTCTTTGTATGTTCTATCTAATGACTTCTAGATTAGATCTGGTATATATTAGCTTGAATATAAAGGGTTATTATAAATAAATCCGTAATTACTTGTACGTTCATTGAAGCTCTAGCTATGTACTCTCATCTTTTGAAATACGTCTGCAAAAATGTAATAAAAAATTGTCAACTATGTATTTCACTTTGTTTCAAATAGTCTTCAATATAGTAGCAAATATCAACTCACGTTGATATCAGTTTCGTAGTTGATTCAATTTAGTTGTTTTAGTCTCTTAAAGTTGAGGTACATCGAAACGACTTAGTCGAAATAACTCTTGAGCCGATTATCTCTGTATAACTAACACTATTATTTGCTATATCGTTAGTAACGCTCCAATTTTTGATATCCTTGCATCATATTCTAGAAGCTCAGACGTAACACGTGAGGTTGGCTGGGTTATTTTCGATGAAATTCATTATATGAGGGAAAAGGAACGTGGCGTTATCTGGGAGGAAACCATTATTTTATTACCTGATAGTGTTGGGCTTGTTTTTTTGAGTGCGACAATTCCAAATGCTCGAGAATTCGCTGAATGGATAGTGTTTTTACATCAAAAGCCTTGTCACGTTGTTTACACAGATTGTCGCCCTGTTCCATTGCAACACTATGTTTACCCATGTGGTGGAGATGGAATTCATTTGGTAGTCAATCAGAATGTAAGTTTATCAATATTCGTCTTAGGAAACATTTATTTCTGGAGTAATACAGCTGATATGCATCATTTTAATTTTAGGTAATCTTAAGAAATTATTTAATAGTAACCCTTGATTGATAATAATAATAAGTGTATCTCAAGTTCAATTCCACCTTTCGTGGTCTTATTCCTTGTTTTGGTTCTGTTTACGATCATTCGACAGATATGCATAGTATAAAGGAAATTGTAGGGATTCCATTATACAGAAGCAGGACAATATCGCACCAATAAGAAAAAGAACTGAAGATGTAACATGAAACTGTAGATTCTTATTCAAAATGTAATTCTCACTTCAGATCATTCCTTTAAGCTTCATATGAGCAGCAGTGACTGAATGAGGCTATATGGCATATAGGTAGTACCTAGTTTAGTCTACATCTAGAAAGTCCTGACGGACTTATTTGTATTGATGTAATCCATTTCAAAGTTCGGCACATTATCTCCGAAACCCACAGCCTCAAAATGCCACCATCAGTGAAACCTCTATGATATATATATTTGCTATTTAAATGAATCTTATCTAAGTCAATCCAAGATAAATGTCTCTCAATCATGTACTAATAGATAATATTTTACCGCGAATGTAGGAAACATCGGGTCAAGAAATCATCGAACGGCATCTGTCTTGTTTTCACTCATATCCGCCTACATCAAACCTTAATTCGGTATCGTACACTCGACATCATATAGTCCTGGTTGCTTCGAGACGGAGCAATTGATGAGTTAAAATTTTCTGTATGAATACATGTTCTGTCGCATATATTCAAGTCACCCAGTATTTAGCTATGTACGCAAACTACTCAGTTGTCTTTATATTCATCACAGACTGTAAATAGTCCAGACCGTGGCTGCTACCTTGACGTGGTGGTCGGGTTAGCCTGTCGTGATGACCCAACCCACCAATATTGGCTGGAACACATGTTCCTGTAGATTCTACCATGCCGGGCAGGTCGATTGGAGTACGATGAGACTAAAGCAGCTACTCAAGGTCTAAGGGCGAAGTCGTACTGCTGACTGTACAACATGTTGGAGCATTTACTATTCGTAGGGTTCCATCTAATGATAACAAAGCTAAGAAAGTATTTCAAAAGCAGTCAGAAAAAGTGATGCAAATGCCGAGGCAACTTGGATTGATATGCAAAAGGCTGTGGAAAATTCAGTGATATCTGCTAGTAAGGTAAACCATAAGGCTAGGAAGAAGCGGTGGATTTCAGTAGCATCCACCGAACTGATAAACACTCGAAAACCTGGCTCTAGTGCGATGAGGAGAGGAGTCAGCTTAAGCGCAGGCTGATAAAATGCCTACGCAATGATCGCGAACAGTGATGGGTAGCGGAAGTAAGAGCGATAGTAATTTCAGCGGCGATGGGCAACAGTAGCCATTTATTCAGACTCATCAAGTAAACCGGTATTAAGAACCGGAATGTGAGTGAGACTGTTTCGGGAAAGGATAGTCTTATTATTCATTCTCGATCCAGGAAATTGGATCGATGGGCAGAACACGTTAGGGATCAGTTCAACTGGCCTTCAGCCACACATCGGTTGCCCACGATCTCCAGTCTACCTGAATGGGAAACCGATAAAAGTCGTCCGAATCTTTGTGAATATGAGATAGCGATAGGGAATTTGAAGCGAGGAACAGCTGCGTGTCCTGATAGATTGACCCCTGAGATTTATAAGTATTGTAGTCCAGTTTTAGCAGTTAGATTGACTGAGATCTCAGGTAGAATCTACGAACTGGACGTAAACCCATCCTACTGGTCTCAATCCCTGATTGTCCAAATTTATAAGAAAGGACAAAAGTCTTTTTGTGACAATCACAGGGGAATCAGTCTAACTAATATAGTGTCTAAATTGTTAGCCTCGATTATCCTTAGACACCTAACTAGAGCTAATGAAAAGCAGACTAGAGACAACCAGGCTAGTTTCAGACGTAGACATAAATGTTTAGGCCGAATATTCACACTACGTCAGGTCTTAGAACAGAGACACACGTTTAAACGCCCCGCGATAGTAGTATTTCTCGATCCTAAGGTGGCACTTAACTGTGTCGATCGTGAGGTTCTTTGGTAGAGTCTGTCATGAAAATGTGTACCAAAGTAGTACACTAACCTTATACAAACTCTCTACTCGAACACTACAGGTCGAGTGAGAACTTATGGCGAACTGTCATCGGAATTCTTTACTTCAAGTGGTGTCCGTCAGGACCGTCCACTTTCTCCATTCTTGTTTAACTTTGTCACGGACATGCTTTTAGAGTCAATATTATCTTCGTCTGACTTTTCAGGAGTAGTCCTTCTACCAGGAGACATGCTAGTTAACTCAGAGTATGCTGATGACATGGTTCTACTTTGTGAAGACGCTGACCAAATGCAGAGTCTTCTGACTACCCTAGGTAACAAAGCAAGCATGTTCGGGATGCGGTTTTCCCCCTGAAAATGCAAAATGTTGCTTCAAGATTGGCTTGCGACTTCACCTGAACCAGTGGTAGACAGTGAAGTAGTTGACCGTGTTGACCACTTCACTTATCTTGGGAGTCTCATCAGCGCTGATGGCTTAGTGACTGACGAAATCTCCGCACGGATAGAGATAGCTCGATTGGCTTTTGCTAACTTGCGTCACTTATGGCGTAGGCGAGATATCTGTTTGCTAACCAAAGGGCGAGTGTACTTTTCAGAAGTTCGGTCTATCCTACTCTATGGATATGAAACATGGCCGTTAAGAGTAGAGGACTTTCGTAGGTTATTAGTATTCGATTATATATGTCTTCGGAGCATTGCTCGTATATTCTGGGACTACGGTATAAGCAATGCTGTCGTTAGAAAACAAGTATTAGGTAGTGATGGCAGATCAATAGATGAAGTATTGTGATTTCATCATTTGAAGTGGTTGGGACATGTGTTACGAATGCCCGACCACCGACTGCCTCGACGAGCTATGTTTTGTAGTATAGGAATAAATTGAAAGAAAGACCTTGAATGACATGTCTCAAAATCGTTAGCAATGGCGCAGGTGCATTCATTCGTTGTGTTCTCTAAAATTCTAATCCTCAGAATTCCTCATCATCTTTATTTTTCTCTTTCTAAATTTATCTCACTGAATTATACATCTCGAATCATATCTTCGAACTCTTATCTTATCCGTTACTGCTAATACTTCTACTATTTCTGCCAATGTGTGATTTGAACTGACAATTGCTTCCCTGCCCTAATGGGGTATGGCAACGTGAATTTATGTACTTAATTATGAAGTTCTGCGTTGTAATTCACCGACTGATTTCGGTTTGTTAGATCTAAATTTTTGAACGTTTTTCGTTTATGCTGTCATTTCTGTGATATATTCGTGTATGGTACTAGTTGTTCGATGCTCCAACTTTAATTTTCTGGCCGAAACTAAATATATCCTTTTATGTTACCTGCCCTCCTGGCTAGAGTAGAACCAACGGTTTAACTCATAAAGCTTTTTGACGTTTATACAGTATAATCTATCAAAGTACATTCAGTTTATCGATTACGTATTAGTAAAAAAATGATCAAAATTTTGAACTTGTATTTGTCATTGAAAAAATCATGGTAAAAATACATTTTAATTTTAGGAGTAGTGTTGACACTGGGACATCTAATGTAATAGATTTTCAATATTGGTTTGTTTATGACTTGTAATTTGAGATTTTTATTTCTAAACTTCCATTTTACTATTCCAGTTACATTTTGAATAATAAGTCACTTCGTTTGTAATTGTTAAAATCCAGCTAAACCGATCTATATTTTTAAGTCATTAATTCAATATTTGTTGAGTTTGGTAATGACCGTATGTAAACTAATTAATTGTGAGGAAAATGCATACGTCACAAACGATACTAATAGTATCTGTTATAAGTAGTCTCTTACATTCAGTTTATAAAATTTTATCGATTTTATACTACTAAGCGTGGATAGAAGTTATATTTTTTCCTTTTCACTTGATCTTATGCTGAAAATAAAAATGATAGATTACGTGCCCAGTTGGTCCTAAATAATTTTGCTGTTATGTGTCCCTGACAGGTTGTTTCGTATCGTTTCTAATCGCTTATTTTCCAGCGTGAGTTTATTGAATCTAACTTCAGTGCTGCTGTGAATGCTCTACAAAATGCCGCTGGCAATTCAGTTTCTGATGTGAAATCCCGCGGACGTAACGGTGGCAGTACGCGTAAGTCAAATAGTTGCTGTTTTTATATTTATACCCCTACTCATTTGTATTTTGAATGGAAACAAAGTACCCGTGCAAGAAATTTCATATTTTTAGAATATCTAATGTTGTTGAGGTAAACAGTATTTCGCTGCGAGGATCCTAACCTGGGTTAATGCGCTACCTTGTCGTGGTGGTCAGACATGCCTATTGTGATGACTCAAGCGAGCTATATTGGCTGGAACATATGTTCCTGTAGGTCCTACCATGCCAGGCAGGTCGATTGGCGAACGATGAGACTAAAAACAGCTACTCAAGATCTGAGGTCTAAATTGTACTGCTGACTGTAGAGGTGTAAGGTGTTTCCTTCGGACAACCGGCATCTGCAGCGATGCTACCTTCTCACAAAGAAGGAAGGGGTTAGAAAAAGTCGACCCTAGAAAGGTCACACCTCACCTTACCTCACGGATTTCCGTCTCCGACGCTAAGGCGTTTTAAACGAGGACGGAGCTTGCACTTTAAATACTACTCACAAAAAGGCTGTGCGTGACCGGCCTCAAGCGGTTGTCCCTTGAGCTCTTCGGTCACGCTCCCAGGTCTCTAAGACCAACACTAATCTACCTTCCTTTTCAGGTTCTTCAAGAAACACCGTTCCACTGTGTGGTCAGCCGGGAAGTGACACCAGCCGTCATACCCGTGCCAGCACACAAGACCAAATTGGTCATGTTAGAACTTCTGATGTTCTGAAATTGTGTCAAATAGGGCAACAGGCCTCCTTAGCCAGGACTTAAGAATCTCGCACCATCGCTGTATGCTGCCTCTCAGAAACGTGCATACAAGATCGGAGTAGCGTCATTCACTTGAGTTAACCTTGTAAAGATAAAGAAGCAACTCGTTTTACTCTTCGCGTATCTAGAAGCCCTGATGATGCTTCCCGAAGTCTTGCTGGTGTAGGTTTAGCAGTGAGTCAAAGCAATGCTGTCGTTAGAAAACAAGTATTAGGTAGTGATGGCAGATCAATAGATGAAGTATTGAGATTTCATCATTTGAAGTGGTTGGGACATGTGTTACGAATGCCCGACCACCGACTGCCTCGACGAGCTATGTTTTGTAGTATAGGAATAAATTGAAAGAAAGACCTTGAATGACAAGTCTCAAAATCGTTAGCAATGGCGCAGGTGCATTCATTCGTTGTGTTCTCTAAAATTCTAATCCTCAGAATTCCTCATCATCTTTATTTTTCTCTTTCTAAATTTATCTCACTGAATTATACATCTCGAATCATATCTTCGAACTCTTATCTTATCCGTTACTGCTAATACTTCTACTATTTCTGCCAATGTGTGATTTGAACTGACAATTGCTTCCCTGCCCTAATGGGGTCAGTCAGTCAGTTGCAACGTAGAACTTCGTACGTATGTACACAAGTTCATGTTGCCATACCACATTATTAGCACAGAGACGCAAATGTCAAATCAAATCCCATAGTGATAAAGATGGTAGAGGTATTAATGTTATAATAAAGAAGACTAGGGTTTAAGATATTATTCAAAAAATATAATTCAGTGAGATAAGGTTAGAAAGACAAAGGTAGAGGTGCTGGCTAATCCAGAAGATTAGGATTTGAGAGAGCTCAAAGAGTGGATGCACCTGCGCCATTGCAAACGATTTTGAGGCATGTCGTTCAAGGTCTCTAACCATTGATGACTTTCGTCTCGCGGACCCCAACCAGGTAGTCTACATCTACCAACATGACTCAGTCCACTTGTCAATGACTTCATGGATTTCTGCCGTGTTTTGGTCTGGCCACCCCTAGCTTTCTTCCAACCTACTCCTACACCACAAAACATAGCTCGTCGAGGCAGTCGGTGGTTAGGCATACGTAACACATGTCCCAACCACCTCAACTGATGAAGTTTCACCACTTCATCGATTGATCTGCCATCCTTACCTAGTACCCGTTTCCTAACGACAGCATTGCTTACTCGGCTGTCCCACGATATACGAGCAATGCTTCTTAAACATCTATGATCGAATACTAGTAACCTACGAACATCTTCTACTCTTAACGGCCATGTTTCACAGCCATATAATAGAATGGAACGAACTGCTGCGCAGTACACCCGCCCTTTGGTTAGCGAACGGATATCACGCCTACGCCATAAGTGACGCAGGTTGGCAAAAGCCAATCGAGCTTTCTGTATCCGAGCTGAGATTTCGTCAGTCACCAGACCGGCGGCACTGATGAGACTCCCCGGATAAGTGAAGTGATCTACACGCTCGACTACTTCACTCCGTATCACTAGTTCAGGTGCCGAAGCAACCCAGTCTTGAAGCAACATTTTGCATTTCGGTGGGGGAAAACCGCATCCCGAACATGCTTGCATTGTTGCTTAGTGAGGTCAGGAGACTCTGCATTTGGTCAGCGTCTTCACCGAATAGAACTATGTCATCGGCATATTCTAGATCATTAAGCGACTTTCCTGGTAGAAGGTCAACCCCTGAAAAATCTGACGAGCTTAATGTTAACTCTAAGAGGATGTCTACGACAAAGTTGAACAAGAATGGAGAGAGTGGACATCCCTGACGGACACCACTTGATGTAGAGAATTCAGATGACAGTTCGCCATATGCTCTCACCCGACCAGTGGTGTTCGAGTAGAGTGCTTGTATAAGGTTAATGTACTTCTTTGGTACACCTTTCAATGACAGACACTGCCACAGAACATCACGATCCACTGAGTCGAATGCCGCCTTAAGGTCCAGGAACACGACTATTGTCGGACGTCTAAATGTGTGTCTGTGTTCCAGGATCTGTCGTAGTGTGAAGATGTGGTCTATACAACCACGTCCAGGTCGAAAACCAGACTGGTTTTCTCGAGTCTGCTCTTCGCGAGCTCTAGTTAGACGTCTAAGTATAATCGAGGCTAACAATTTAGAAACTATATTAGTTAAACTTATTCCCCTGTGATTGTCACAAGAGGACTTCTGTCCTTTCTTGTAGATTGGGACAATTAGCGACTGAGACCAGTCAGATGGGATTACGTCCATTTCCCAGATTCTACCTAGGATCTCGGTCAGTTTAACCGTTAAAACTAGACCACCATCCTTAAACATCTCAGGGGTAAGCCTATCGGGACCTGCCGCTCTACCTCTCCTTAGATTTCCTATAGCTTTCTCAACTTCATGTAAACTGGGAGGACTTAAATCGATTTGCCATTCAGGATGACTGGAGATCGTGGGCAACCGAGGAGTGGCTGAAGGCCAGTTGAACTGATCCCTAAAGTGTTCTGCCCATCGGTCCAGCCTCCTAGATTGAGAATGGATAATAAGACCATCCTTTTCCGAGATAGTCTCACTTACATTCGGGTTCCTAATACCGGTTTCTTTGATAAGGCGGAAAAGTTGTCTAGTGTTGCCTATCGCCGCTGCCTTTTCCATCGCTTTTGCTTTCGCCACCCACCACTGTTCACGGTCTCTACGTAGGCTTTTTATAAGTCTGCACCTAAGCTGACTACGCTCTTCATCATGTTCAGAGTCAGGTGGGATGCGTTTTCGAGCATCCATCAGTTCGGTGGATGCGACTGAAATCCACTGCTTCATCCTAGTATTGTGGTTTACCTTGCTAGCAGATACCATTGCTGTTTCCACAGCCTTCTTGATATGATTCCAACCTGCTTCAGGATGGGAATCACTTGCATGGCCGCCTAACTGTTTTTCTAGTTCCTCCTGAAATATTTTCTTAGCTTGATTATCATCAAGTGAAGCCCTAAGAGGCTTGCTTACGGTGTCTTTCCTACGTCCAGCAAGCCTCAAACAAATACGTGCTCGCACTAGGGCATGATCTGAATCTAAACATGTGCCCCAGAACGAGCGACAGTCCTCTATCGAACCCCTCCATCGGTGGCTGATGGCGATATGATCTAGTTGTGTCCAACGTTGAGACGACTTCGGGGGTCGCCAGGTCAAGAGGTGTTTTTCTTTATGCTTAAAATTAGTGTTTGCTAGAAATAGGCGGTTATCTGAGCACAGTTGCAACAGACGGTCGCCATTGTCTGTTCTTTGAGCCGCGAGACCGTAACATCCACCTAGGTGTCTTTCATTTTCACTTAGTCTACCTACTTGTGCATTGAAGTCACCAGCCATTATAACTATATCAGAGCGCTTAACTTTTTGGAGGAGGTCCGAAAGCTTTCTGTAAAACTCATCTTTTACATCATCTGGGCTGCAGTCAGTGGGGGCGTAGGCTGATATGACGAAGAGGCAACGGCGAGTGTCCCTATCTTTCCGAGTCCTTACTGTCCCGTTCAGTCGGACGGCGCACAAGCGACTATCTACTAGGATCCAGTCAAGGAGAGATTGTTCTGCCCTACGACTCAATGCTATACCTACACCGGCGAGGCCCCTAGAAGCAGCATCAGAGCTACCGGATACACCAAGGGTAAATCGGGCGGCTTCTTTATCTTGACATGGTGAGGTCAAATGAGTGATGCTACTCGGATCCTGTATGCGCGTTTCCGAGACGCAGCACACATCGATGGAACGAGATTCTAAAGTCCCAGCTAATGACGCCTGTTGCCCTATTTGACACAATGTCCGTACATTGAATGCTCCAACATGTAGTTTGGAACGGGGTTTAAGGAGACCAGGAACGACGTTTCGCAAACTCGCATCGTTTGCATTAGTTGTGCACTGTAATAAATGAATGTGAGAAGAGTTAGTTGTGGAGATAAGAGAGGTATTAGGGAATGTAGGAAGGATTTGATTTTGAACAATTTGGTCTCGTGTGCTGTTACGGGTATGAGGGCGGTTGTCACTTCCCGGCTGCCCACACTGTGGAAGGTTGTTTCTTGACGAACCTGAGAAGGAAGATGGATTAGTGTTGGTGCGTGACCGCAGAGCCCAAGGGACAACTGCTTGAGGCCGGTCACGCACGGCCTTTTTATGAGAGGTATTTAGAGGATTAGCTCCGTTCTTAAAGGCCCTTAGTGGGCACCCTTACCCAAGGAGACGGAAATCCGTGAGGTAGGGGAGGTGTGACATTTTTAGGGTCGACCTTTTCTAACCCTTCCTTCCTTGTGAGAAGGCAGCATCGCTGCAGATGCTGGTTGTCCGAGGGAAACACCTTACTGCTGTCACACCCCTCTGCAGTCAGCAGTACGACTTCGCCCTCAGACCTTGGGTAGCTGCTTTTAGTCTCATCGTTCTCCAATCGACCTGCCTGGCATGGTAGGACCTGCAGGAACATGTGTTGCAGCCAGTATAGCTCGGTTGGGTCACCACGATAGGCAAGCCCGACCACCACGTCAAGGTAGCAGCTTCGGTCGGGTCCTAATGGGGTATGGCAACCTGAACTTATGTACTCATTAACGAAGTTCTGCGTTCTTTCTAACTAACTTCATGGCTGATCGAATGTAGGCCTCTGGTATAGTTGTCTGAGAATGTTTCAACTTCTCCAAGTTAACTCTACTGTCTTACCGGAACAGTAAGAATCGCTTTCATTGGATGTTTTTCTACTAGTAATTTTATATTTTGTCATGATTTGCTTAAAGTATTTTAGTGTATTCTGTTATAGTTCTAATACTACTTTACTTACTTTCGCCCGTTACCCCCAATGGAGCATAGGCCGCCCACCAGTTTTCTCCAACCAACTCTGTCCTGGGCTTCCCTCTCCAGTTCTGTCCAATGTTTGTTCATTCCTCTCATATCTTTCTCTATTTCTCGGCGTAGTGTGTTCCTTGGCCTTCCTCTTTTCCTTTTGCCTTGAGGGTTCCATGTGAGGGCTTGTCTAGTGACGCAGTTGGGTGCTTTTCGTAGTGTATGTCCTATCCATTTCCACCGCTTCTTCCTGATTTCCTCCTCCATTGGAATCTGACTTGTTCTCTCCCACAGTTCGTTGTTGCTGATGGTGTCTGGCCAACGAATACGAAGTATTTTGCGTAGACAACTGTTAATAAACACTTGTATCTTCTGGAAGATGGCTTTGGTAGTTCTCCATGTTTCCGCTCCATACAGTAGAACTGTCTTGACATTTGTATTGAAGATCCTGATTTTGGTTTTGTTTGAAAGTTGTTTGGAGTTCCAGATATTTTTCAACTGTAGAAATGCAGCCCTTGCTTTGCCAATCCGCGCCCTCACCTCTGCGTCCGATCCACCTTTCTCGTCGATGATGCTGCCAAGATATGTGAAGGTGTTAACGTCCTCCAAGGTATCTCCATCAAGCGTGATTCGGTTGGTGCATGTTGTGTTGCATCGGAGAATTTTGCTTTTTCCTTTATGTATGTTGAGACCTACTGCTGCAGAGGCTGCTGCTACACTGGTCGTCTTCTCTTGCATTTGTTGTTGAGTGTGGGATAGAAGAGCCAGGTCATCTGCGAAGTCCAGATCGTCCAGCTGCGTCCTAACTGTCCAGTTGATACCGTGCTTCCCTCCAGATGTTGACGTCTTCATAATCCAGTCGATGACCAGGAGAAAGAGAAAGGGTGAGAGTAAGCAACCTTGCCTGACACCGGTCTTCACCTCAAAAGAGTCTGTCAGCTGACCTCCGTGTACGATTTTGCAGTTGAATCCATCATAAGAATTCCGTATGATGTTGACTATTTTCTCAGGCACACCGTAGTGTCGAAGAAGCCTCCACAGTTTTTTCCTATCCACGCTATCGAATGCCTTCTCGTAGTCGATGAAGTTGATGTAGAGTGGTGAGTTCCATTCAATTGATTGTTCCACAATGATCCGTAATGTAGCAATTTCGTCAGTACACGATCGATCCTTACGAAATCCAGCCTGTTGATCTCGAAGTTCGGCGTCTACGAAGTCCTTCATTCTGTTTAACAATACTCTGTTGAAGACTTTGCCTGGTATTGAAAGAAGAGTGATGCCTCTGTAGTTTTCACACTTGCTGAGATCGCCTTTCTTTGGTATTTTGATGAGGTATCCTTCTTTCCAATCTGATGGTACTTGTTCCTCATCCCAAATCTTCTTGAAGAGAATGTGAAATATTTTCGCAGTTGCTTCCACATCTGCTTTCATTGCCTCTGCTGGAATGTTGTCTGGTCCTGCTGCTTTGCCGCTCTTGATTTGTCTGATGGCCATACTGATCTCCTCAATCGTAGGTGAGCCAATATTAATTGGGAGGTCCGTGGATGCTGCTTCGATGTTGGGTGGGTTCAGTGGAGCTGGTCGATTCAATAGTTCCTTAAAGTGCTCCACCCACCTATTTCGCTGTTCGTCAGTGTTGCTGATTATTTTCCCTTCCTTGCTTTTCACTGGTCGTTCTGGTTTACGATAGTTTCCGGCGAGCTTCTTTGTAGTTTCGTACAATTGTCTCAAGTTTCTTTCTCTTGCAGCCTTTTCCGCCGTCATTGCTAGATAATCCACATATTTTCGTTTGTCAGCTCTGATGCTCTTCTTCACTTCCCTGTTTGCTTCTGTATACTCGGCTTGCGCCTTAACTTTCTCTGCTCTTGTTCGGCAGACATTGATAGCTGCCTTCTTGTTCCTCCTTTCTTGAATTTTTTCAAGAGTACCAACAGAGATCCATTCCTTGTGATGGTGCTTCTTGTGACCCAGAACTTCGTGACATGTTGAAGTGATTGCCTCCTTAATCCCTTTCCAATTGTTCTCCAATGTTGCGTCCTCTCCATCGAGTAGATTGTGAAAGGCCTGGAACCTATTGGTGAGGGCTATCCTGAATTCGTTTAGCTTTAGAGTATCCCGAAGAAATGCCGTATTAAACTTCTGTGATGTTGTCTGCCCCGCTGTCCAGTGCTTCTTTAGCTTCAATCTCATTTTGGCGATCAGCAAGTGGTGATCTGAAGCTATATCAGCTCCTCTCTTGGTTCTCACATCCTCCATGGTCCTTCTGAACTTTTTGTTGATACAGATATGGTCAATTTGGTTTTGAGTAGTGTGGTCCGGTGAAATCCATGTGGCTTTGTGAATGCGTTTGTGCGGGAATATTGTGCCACCGATGACCAGTTTGTTGAAGGCACATAGGTTTGCAAATCTCTCACCGTTTTCGTTCCTTTCTCCCAGTCCATGTCGTCCCATGATGTCTTCATATCCAGTGTTGTCCATTCCAACCTTGGCATTCAGGTCTCCCATAAGAATCGTCAAATCCTTTGGTGAACATTTATCGACGACTGACTGCAGCCTTTCGTAGAATTGATCTTTAACGTCGTCATTGTAGTCGTTGGTAGGTGCATAACATTGGATGACGTTCATTGTTATGTCCTGTTTCTTTGCTTTGAAGGATGCTTTAATGATCCTGGGTCCATGAGGTTCCCATCCTATCAGCGCCTTTCGTGCTTGTTTGGACAGCATCAGTGCAACTCCTTGTGTGTGTGAAGCATTTTCCTCTTCATGACCAGAGTATAACAGCAGTTCCCCTGAAGCAAGTCTCAGTTGTCCTACCTGTGTCCAATGTGTTTCACTGATGCCGAGCACCTCGAGGTTGTATCTTTTCATTTCTGCCGCAACTTGAAATAGTCTTCCAGTCTCCCACAATGTACGAACGTTCCATGTACCTAAAAAAATGGTTGCTCTGGTTGTCAGAAGAGGCATCGGCCCCGTGACTTCCGAGGGGACTCGGCTTTCATCACGAGACGTCATAATTCTTCTTCGAACTCCCAGGGCAGAGTTAAAATGGTTTGAATTACTTTTTCTGGTTAGCGTTTTTTTGGCAAGTTAGATTTCAACGGAATGGGGCCGCCAACCCCATGTCCAACCCTCCTCCTTTATCCGGGCTTGGGACCGGCAGTAGCCCCTAAGGTTCTACTGGCGGAGTTTTATAGTTCTAATACAACAATAAAATTAAGTTTAAGGAACAAGTGAGTTCAGTTTTAAACTTCTAAATATGATTAAGAGGTAACATTACTATGATATGCTGTTTTGTAAACAAGTGTGTTGTTATTCGACTAATTTTTTGAAGTTAATTATTAAATCATTGAGAGGCAGCAAACCATTAAACAGTTTCTTCATCTTAACGTTGTACGTTCTCTTGATTTATTCTGTTCGTACTCATGTATTTCATTTCTAGAGGTGTAGTATTTAATGAACACGTTTTCACATTCGTAGACATAATGAGTTTTTGTTCCGGATATAAGTTTCTGTCTACGATGATTTTGTTGTTAGTCATATTATTGGTCGGAAACTAATTTTAATAGCGTATGCACCTCTTTGAGTTGAGATTTTCCTTCTTTCAATCACATACTTTATTTTTTCAAATTATTATCATCATTTGTCCAATCACTCGTCGACTGATGAACAGGGTCGTATTTACCAAAATACGACCTCATAATTATAATAAGTCCATCTTCGAGTGATTCATTTTGGTGATTTGTTTTTAAGGTTCTCAGCCATATTGCTCAAAGTTAGTCAAGTTGGTAATGGACCAAAATTTGGAGCCGCTTATTGTCTTTTCGTTTAGCAAAATGGATTGCGAATACTATGCCATGCAACTGAACAAAATGAATTTTAGTACGGGTAAGTATCATCTGTCGTTATGGCACTTTTTATTAGACCCAAAAAACAACAATTTCATCATTTCGCAATATAATTTCGTGTAAGGAGTATTCGTAAATGCATGTAGATTAATAATGCTGAAAACGGAAAATCTATATTTTAAATGGTTCGTTAATTCGGTCCAGGATTTGAAATTCTACACTCGTTTCGTATAAATATATAGACCATAGGGTAGTGTCCCAGTAGCTATTATTGTGGGAAATGATCGCTTTAAAATTAGTATTGTTTTTCAAAGTTCCCTAATCCACTTTCTAAATGTTTGTGAAGGAACTATGTCATTCCATAACTGACGGCTATTTTGATTTTAATCGTCGTTGATTATCCCTATTATATATATATATATATATATATATCTGTTTATGAACAGTTGTGCAATCATTTTAAGACGAAATTAAAATGTAAGGGGTGGTAGTGAGAGAGTTATTATCCGTGACCTCTCAATCACGGTTCGTACCCAGGACTTTCTGTCTCTCACACAAACGCCTAACCTCTTAGTCCATTGAACAGTCGTTCAGTAGTATTAATGTTTGTTTTCAATCAATGTGATCTCGCTCAGCCCTTCATCCATTATATGCTTTGGATAACTATCTCACACCCTACATGAATCGTACTCCACTGGTCACGTCTTCAAGAGTTATATCTTGAAGCTACTCATACACTGGGACGAAACGGCTGAACAGTGTTTCCAGGTTTTCAGTGGTAGTCTGGTAAAGATCAGCTCATGATTCCAACCGTGGAAATACTACAATCTCCATAAATCCTCCATACTAATAATAAAACGAGGTCCAGAAAGTAATAAGCTCACTTAAAAATAAATATAAAAGCAATAGGATGGCAATTGTATAAAATTAGAAATTGGAAGATTACGTGACAATTATGCAACATTTGAATAGTTTAGTTTAGGAAATTAAGTGAATGAAACAACCCAAAGAGTCAAAAGATAGTTTCGTTGTACACAAAACAAGAATCAGTTTAACGAAGACTGCAGAGCAAATTGAACCATAATAAACTATTAATAATCATAACAAGAATACTAATTGAAGATGATGTTAGTCACTAGCACCTCTCGGTCTCAAGTTCCTTGAAACCTGTCTAGGAATACCAACACGTTCCTCTGAGTATGCATTTTCACGCAGACAGATTGTAACAAAGGCAGTTCCTCTAGGCTTCTCCTTTAGCGAAATTTATGAGTGCGGTCCAAAAGAGTTCATACAATCTTTTTGTAACTGATTGGACAGAAGCTGTTTCAGTCTTATTATTTATTTATTGAAACACATAAGCATCGGTACAAAGTGGCACTTAAATATTTATGCACGGCAAAAATTGTTTTGTGAGTGGGCTCGGATACTGCCCGGCGATCAAAACCAGAGTAGGTAGTTGTTAGTGGAACATAGATGGAATTAAAGCATGACTACGTTGCTGCGCGCTGATTGGCTAATTCCCTATCCAGTCAGCGCCTGATCGATTCTTGGAGAACAGGGTAGAATATTCTCGTATTGTTAGATGCGTGCTGATTGGCTAAATCTAATCCAGTCGATCACGTGAATTTCTATCCAGAAGCTTCTCATGTAAATGCTATAAATAAACTAACGTTGTATCTATTTTTGCCTTCGCTTTCGCCTTTGCCATCACCCTTGGCTGCTTATTCCATTTAACCTTGCTATTTGGAATATAATCTTTCCTGTTCAACCGTGTTTTGATTCCTGGGAACTTGTACAGTGTATTGTGGTCAGAGAATACTAAGCAATAGGATTTAGCTGGGAATCATTTAAGCAAGCCGTTACAACAGTAGTTTCATTAAGGAGCCACTCCATGATCCTTTAACAAAGAGGTTTAATACAGAGGGCAGTGAAGCAACATCGTGAGATGCAGGCCCATGGTAACCAGTGGTTAGTTATCGGTTCATATTCCATATGTTCCCTCAAGATCTTGGAGCCTATGGGCACCAGTCAGCCAGTCAGTTACAACGTAGAACTTCGTACGTAAGTACATAGGTTCAGGTTGCCAAAACACATCAGCACAGGCGCAACTGTCAGTTAAAAATCTCATAGTAGTAGAAATAGTAGAAGTATTAGCAGTAATGGAGAAGATTGCTAACTCGGTTGGGTCACGACGATAGGCAAGTCCGACCACGACGTCTAGGTAGCAGCTTTGGTCGGGTGTTGAATCAACGCTTAGTTATAAATTCAGCAACATGTAATATTTAGTTGCTATACTGAATGCAACAACTCTATATCCATTCAGTTACAGTAAAAACTTTTAGTAGTAAAATCCTTTTGGAATGTAGCTTTTGCTAGAACACTAATGGTTTCAAACTTCATTATTCATAAGCACATTCCTGGATGTAGATAGCCACAATCGTCCAAACATAGATGCCTACTCAGACAAATCTCTTTCTCTACGTCCCAGGTAGGAATTGTTGAAAAATATTATGATCGTTTGATGAACAAAAGTTATTGAGAATAGGCATTTTTTTTTGGATTGAGCCTGATTTCTAGGTCTTTTTTTTACCTACTACTTTTTGAAGATGTTTTCTCTTTAGGATGAAACCAGTTATATGCATAAAAATAGAATTTGGCTTACTTTTAAGTCGTTCCGTAAACGTATTAATCCGATGGTTGGACAATGACTTTTCTTTCAGAATTTATCAGTAGTTTGTTTCACGCTATTCTATGTATGATATTGTTTTGAAGTTGATAAACATCAAGAAAGTTATTTTGTTGATTTTATAAGTAAACCAACTTGCTACTTTTATTGTTAGAATCAGAAAAGGCGGCTATTGAACTTGTATTTAATAATGCCATTGAGAGCCTTTCCGTGGACGACCGAAATCTTCCACAAGTTCAGATTTTGCTACCCGTATTACGTCGTGGAATCGGTATACATCATGGCGGACTGTTACCTATACTCAAAGAAATTGTTGAAGTGCTATTTGCTGAGGGTTTTATAAAAGTAAGCGTTTTAGTATACTAATTACCCTGTTTTCCCCTTTTTATCTCACTGTTAAGAAACTTGTGATAGCACTTTATTAATATTTTTTGTACGTGCACTTCCAGTAAATTCGACCTGAAGAAACAGTGCTTGCAATTAAACTTAGTGGTTCGATATATGTATTCTCACGTAATAACTCCTAAGAATCCACCAACAATTCTTTCAATACTCATACATATTCTACTCACTGTTGGCTCGAATAATGAAACTTCTCTCTCTCCTATTGTAGGATTTAATTTTTCCTGCAGATATACTGCTAGAACCGTGAACGCGATACTGGCAAGCACAGACTCTATGCGAAAGCTCTAGTCAGAACAAAGACAACTTGGCTTTAAACTGTTTTTGTTCCTAATCCTAAAAGCAATTAGATTAGTACAATAATTAAGGAAATAACAGCTATTAAGTGAAACGAACAAGCATACCGATTAATATCGTGTCTTATGGAAATGAATAAAATTATGAGTCATATTAATATAATAGGATAATAATGTCTTTCAGTTGGTAGGTCACATGCATCAGAGATAGCTTACAGACACATCAGACCAGATCACGTGGTGAGCGCCTAAGCCACTATTTGATTGGCTAGTTATGGACATAACTAACACCTCCATCAAATTGTTGTGAGCTGAATCAAGGAGTTCTTTGCTAAGAGTTATTGTGCAGGTTTATTTGCATTATTTCGTTCTCTGTTGCGTAGTTTGAGCTAGGTCATAGCTGACATAATCACTTCAGCTAGCACTAGGTAATTTTTTGATTTCAAGGATCTTGTTTCTGTAAATCTCATACTTACTTAGGTCTTTTACCCTTCTTATAGCCCAGGCTGCCGACTTAGGATTCGCAAACAACTGTCAACTTGTCTCTTTCTAATTATCGCCAAGCGCTATTCGTGCTCGGCATTCGATTCTCGGCATTGTGTCCTTTGATATACCTCTTTTCTTTTTCTTGTAATGATTCCACATTAGTTTTCGCTTTATGATAGTTTGATAATTTCGAAAAGGTATCATAACCACATGCAGCATCTTTTCCTAATTGCCTTAACCTGCAACTGGTTTTTTCTCCGCTAGAGTAGATTATTACTGGTTATGTCTAGCGAATGGATATAAAGTATCTTCTAGAAACAGCTATTTATAAATTTTTGTACTTTTTTGGTGATATTCTTAGCAGTTATCTAAGTTTCAGCTAAATTAAGTATATTTGTTTTAACGTTCGTGCTAGAAACACTGACATTGGTCTTGAATGGTAGTTATTTTAAGTTTTAGACATCCTTCAACTGTAGCAATGATATCCTTGCTTTGCCGTTTCGTGTCTTCAAATCCGCGTCAGGTTCTCCTCATTTGTCGATAGTGTCTGCCACGCATGTCAAGGCGTCCATCTTTTCCAGAGCTTCTTCGGCGAGTGTGCTTTAGTTGCTTATCTTTGTGCTGTACTCTAGGATCTTGGTTTCCCCCTTGTGAATGTTGAGGCCTAATTCCTCAGAAGCCGCTGTAACACTAACTTTTCATCCATATTTGTTTCCGCGTATGCGATAGCGGAGCTGAGTCATCTTCTAAGTCCAAATTATCCAGCTATTTTAAATGAGTCTGTTGTATTTCGTGCTTTTTCTGAGATATACAGGTCTTCATAATATAGTCAACAGTTAGCAGGGAGAGAAGACGGCAGGGTATTTAGCTCTGTATGTTGACAGTTTTCACTTATAATGAGTCCATGAACTACCCTTCATTGTGGACTTTACGATTCAGTCCCTCACTGCAGTTTTGAATGATGATTTTGATCGTCTCAGATACTCCATAATGTCGGAGAAGATCCCACAAGTTTTTTCTATCTACACTGTCGAATGCTTTCTCAAGAGGTTTTTTTTCAATACGACTACAGATTTGTAAAGATAGTTGACTTGCATTGAAATCATGAACCGATCAATGTTAGACCACTATTGGAAACTTGGAATCTTTGGACAACCCTTTAGTCTTAGTGTGGTTCTCAGAAGTGGGTATCCACGACTATACAAGCGGGAATCAGACGTAGGACATTTCGTTTCGCGCACAAATTCTTAACCTGTTGGTCACTGAGTCAATAGTGATAGGTTTTGTTGTTCAACGCTGGTAGTTATTTCTGCGATTTAATTTACAGATAATCGGTCGTCATCAGAGCCAGCTTCTTGATTTCGAAGTTATTTGTCTACTCAGTCTTTCCTTTATTCAAAAACATTATTGAGAACTTTGCTTGGTACTGATGTAGTGAATGAGAACACAGGTGGAGGCAACCGAAATGTATTTAACGAAAATTACAGAGTTACTCAGTAAAATCGGAAAACCATATCGTAAATCGTTCATTTGCAAAAGATCAGTTCATCCTATGGAACTGGACTGTTCCTGTTGCCAAACATCAATCCATTGTCACTCTTCATGCGTTTCATACAAATTCCATTGTTTTCTGACTCTTCCTTTCTTGATCTTCCCCCCATATTATGCTACCAGACTTTACGTTGACACTCACGCTATATACTACTTATAAGTAGTTCGCACCACAGCACCACACTGACAGTGTTGTGATGTCCCTGTAGTCCTCACAAATTAATTCTTCATTCTTTGTTATCTCAATGATTTATCCTCAGTTTGTTAAAAACTGATTCGTCCTCTAAAATCTTTTTGAAAAGAACGTTAAGCGTTTCCTTATCTCTATATATCTGTCTTCAGTGCTTTAGATAGAATGCTGTCTGGTCCTGATGTTTTACCATTCTTGATTTACTTCGTGGCCATGCTAATCTCTTGGGTTGTTGGTGGGCCATCTGTATAGGGAAGTGTTCGGCTATGCAGACTGGATTTCGGGTGAGTTCGGTGGGGCTGGCCTTTCCAATTATTTAACCTGTTCCACTTTCCTTAAACCTCTATGAATAGTGTGCCTACTCTATTTTTGACTAGTCGTTCTGGTTTACTATATTCTCCTGATTCCGCCAATAACTATATTGTGTGGAGCACATAGATTTACCAGTCTCTCACCACTTTCTTTCTCCCAGTTTTTGTCGTCTGATGATGCCTCCATGAACGGTTTTGTCCATCCGAACCATGGTACCTAGGTTCACCATCAGGATGACCAAGTCTTCTCCTAGATCTCTCGATAAACTGCAGCCTCATAAAACTGATATTTACCACCGTTACTATTATTGATTTGTATTCATCGTAACTATTTTCTGCCTTCTTTTGAAGAATGCTGTAATGATTTCAAAGTTATTGGTTTCCTATCACATAAACGTTTTTCATGCTTCTTTGGTTAGCGTTGATATAGCCCGATTGTGTGCGGGACACTTCCTTCGTCGCGACTATTACACAACACCACATTCTGAATATAGTCTCTCTTGGCCACAATGTGTTCAGTGGGTTCTACCTATTTCTAACAGAGCTAGGTTGTATCTTCTTGTTTCCACTGCTGTTTGAATGACCCTCTTCCACGGACATTGTGTTCATATAGTAATTGTTACTGTGTTTGTATGAAAGGGCATCAGCCTCATGACTTTTAAAGAATGTCGATTTTCATAACTTATGAATATGAAAACCCCTCCAATCTCGGGTGAGAGCCTAAGTGGTTTCCGAACAGCCTTTTTTATGGCTTGGAGTTACTAACCTTCCCTGTTTATTCAGGCTTTCGAACTGCAGATGATAGAAGAGCTTCAGACAAAGTTTAGCGTTTACGACCTATTGTTGTCAATTCCAAGTTTTTTGATTTACTTTTCCACTTTTTTAAAACGTAATTTCTACTATGCATCATAGGTGTTGTATGCTACCGAGACGTTCGCCATGGGTCTTAATATGCCGGCTCGGACTGTGTTGTTCACATCCACTCGAAAGTTTGATGGACGCGAATTCCGTTTACTTTCATCTGGGGAATATATTCAAATGTCAGGACGTGCAGGTCGTCGAGGAAAAGATACACGTGGCACAGTTATAATGATGCTTGATGATCGTATTAATGCAGATGAAGCTAGAAAACTCTTACTTGGTGAACCTGACCGTCTGGATTCTTCTTTCTATCTGACGAATAATATGATACTTAATCTACTTCGTGTTGAGGATATCAATCCAGAAATAATGCTCGTTAAAAACTTTCAGCAATTTCAATGCAGATCTGAATTGCCTTCTCTTGAAAAACGTAGGTATTAACTCTTCCGGTTTTTTGTTAAATATTTTTCCTGTTTCAGCCTACTGCTGCAGATAAAAGACGAATATGCAGAGGTTTATAATTAACCAAAATTTGACATTCTGACTTCAACGCATCTTATTCAAATTGTATCAGATGCTTGAGACAAATAGCAGGTTTTTAAAAATCCGATGGTAAGACTTTCAAATTCATTCTAAAACAACATGGCTTGTTTACCATTCTAAGGAAAAAACGAATATAACTGCTTAAAATTAATTATCATTGAAGTATCACAAGCTTGCACATTCCTGAATTCTAAGTTGTCTAATTAAAAAAATTAGATTATTGGCGTGAATGAATAACAGTAGTCATAATCATGTCACGTAAAACTCGATGTGTTTGTCTGGGCTGTGTTAGGGTGGTGGAGAAAATTTGTTTCGTTCATTGAGCAGGATGTTTCTGTTGTGGAGATTTCATTGTTCTTTGTTGTTTGCACCTTTGTTTTTATTGTATCTCCCTTTGATCTGTTCCTTGATCCTATGTTTACCTATGATTTTTCTGATTGGTTGATAAATTGGGTCAACGTCGATGTTTTGTTGACTGACTTGAGTGGCAAGCTTCTAGAAATTCTCTAGTGTTCTTTGCGCTCTCCTTATCCAGTATTTCCACATTGTTCCATAGTTGTCCGTATGTATTGATATAAACGAAGAAATGTCGTGGTGTTTGACTGCTAACTGATGTTTGCTTAAACGAAGCTGAAGAGGACGTCCATTTTGTCCTGTGTAGTGTTTTTCATAATCTGAGCAATTTATTTTGTGGATTATATTTGGTTTTTCTTCCTTTGTCGTTTTTTCCTTGGTTTGAATGCGATTGCTTTAAGTGATTTTGTCGGTGTGTGTGGTACACCTATTCCAAACGGCTTCAGTAATCTTTCTGAAATTTCCGATTGTTATTTATTTATGGTAGGATGATCAGTTTATTGGTCCCTGCACTTATTTTACTCCTGCTGATGGTTTCGGTTGATATTTTTTAAAGCCATCGTGTAGATGGCAGTTCTTCCGGAAGATAGTCATCAAATTTCTCTTGATAAGTTGTATGTTGACGTTCCAGGGAGGGATACAGTTGGATGTAGTGGAATTTTGTGTTTTTGTAGTTCCGGCCTACCGTAGAATTACTGGTCCATCGGATTTCATTCTCTGTTGGTTTTGTTTTGATATTTGTCCTGCTTTGACAAGCTTGTGTAGGGTCCTTAAGATTTGGTTGTCCAACATTTTTATTGGGTGTGTCGATTGGTTTATAGACGCTTCTGTCAGCAAGTAGCTCCTCTGCTTTCCTGATATATTCTTCCTTGTCCATAATTACTGTAGTGCATCCTTTGTTCGCAGAGACTATCAATATATCTTCCCTGGTTCTAAGTTTCTTTAAGACCTTTTGTTGTTGTGCAGTTAGTTGGTTTTTGACTCTCTTCTGTCGAGCCATGTTAATAGGTGCGGACTACGTAGTCAAGACTCGTAGTTAGCGTGACCCACCCGTAGCTGTCACCTTGACGTGGTGGTCGGGTTTGCCTGTCGTGATGACCCGACCGACCAATATTGGCTGGAACATATGTTCCTGTAGGTTCTATCATGCCAGACAGGTCGATTGCAGAACGATGAGACTAGTAGCAGATACTCAAGGTCTGAGGGCGAAGTCGTACTGCTGACTGTAGAGAGGAGTGACAGCAGTAAGGTGTTTGCCTCGGACAAGCAGCATCTGCAGCGACGCTGTCTTCTCACAAAGAAGGAAAGGGTTAGAAAAGTTCGACCCTAGAAATGTCACATCTCACCTTACCTCACAGATTCCCATCTCCGACGGTAAGGTGTTTTAAACAAGAACTGAACAAACACTTTGAATGCTAGGCATAAAAAGGCCGTGCGTAACCGGCCTCAAGCAGTTGTCCTTTTGGCTCTGCAGTCAACCTTCTAGGTGTCTAAGACCAACACAAATCTACCTTCCTTTTCAGGTTCTTCAAGAAACACCGTTTCGCTGTTCGGTCAGCCGGGAATCGACACCAGCCCTCATACCTGTAACTGCACACGAGACAAAATCTGTTACAAGCAAATCCTTCCTACAATTCCTAACATACCCCTTATCTTCACGACTACCTCTTCCCACATCCTTTGTCACCGTACACCGCTGATGCAAACGATTCAGGTTCCCGAAACCCTACTTTAACTGCATGTTGGAACTTCTGATGTTCCGAAATTGTGTCAAATAGGGCAACAGGCCTCCTTAGCCAGGACTTAAGAATCTCGCACCATCGCTGTATGCTGCCTCTCAGAAACGTGCATACAAGATCGGAGTAGCGTTATTCACTTGAGTTAACCATGTAAAGATAAAGAAGCATCTCGTTTTACTCTTCGCGTATCTAGAAGCCCTGATGATGCTTCCCGAAGTCTTGCTGGTGTAGGTATAGCATTGAGTCATAGGGTAGAACTAGCTCTCGTAGACTGGATCCTAGTAGATAGTCGCTTGTGCGCTGTCCGACTGTACGGGACAGTTAGGACTCGTAAAGATAAGGACACTCGCCATTGCTTCTTTGTCGTATCTTCCTATGTTCCGACTGACTGCAGTTCAGACGAGGTTAAAGATGAGTTTTGCAGAAGGCTTTCGGAACTCCTTCAAAAAGTTAAGCACTTTGATGTAGTAATACTGGCTAGAGACTTCAATGCTCAAATAGGTAGACTGAGTGAAACATCTCTTGACCCGGCGACTCCCAAAGTCGAGCGACTAAACATTGTTGTCATTTGGAAACAAAGGTAGAGATGGCAGATCAATAGATAAAGTATTGAAAATTTATCAGTTGAGGTGGTTGGGACATGTGTTACTAATGCCCAACCACCGACTTCCTCGACGGACAATGTTGTGTATCGTAGAACTAGTCTGGAATAAAGCTAAGGGCGGCCAGTTCAAAAGAAGTCTGAAATCCATGAACTCACTTACAACTGGATCGAGTCATGTAGGTAGTTGTAGACGGTTTTGGTCCGCGAGACGAAAGTCACCAATGATTAGAGACTTTGAACGATATTGCTCAAAATCGTATTCAATTCAGGTGTATTCATTCGTTGTGTTCGCTGAAATTCTAATCCTCAGAATTCCTCATCATCTTTATTTTTCTCTTTCTAAATTTATCTCACTGAATTATAGTACTTGAATGACAGTTAGTGTGACCAGTCGCTGGAGATTTTCCATTAACTAGCTCAGAATCTCTCTGAGTGAGCAAGATTCTTTCACAGACCATGACGGATATGAGGACCAATAAGGGAGCTGGTATAGCTTCAGATAACCACTTAGATAAAACTAAAACTAATAAAGCGCTGTACAATGGGGTGGACAGCATCACAAAAGTTTCAAACGGCCCTTTTTTGGGCTACTGGCAAACTCGACGAATTTAAGACAGCCCTCAGCAATAAGTTCGGAGCCTTTTACTATCTACTCTACGGAGAGGAAACTATCATGGAGAGCAACTGGAAAGGGATCAAGGAAGCAATAACGTCAACATGTCATGAGGTTCTGAGCCACAAGAAGCACCATCACAAGGAATGGATCTTTGTTGATATTCTGGATAAGATTCAAGAAAAGAAGAACAGGAAGACTGCAATCAATAACAGCTGGACTGGAGCAGAGAATGTCGACATGTCGATTACACAGAAGCAAACAAGGAAGTGACAAGTAGCATCAGAGCTGACAAACGTAAATATGTGGAAGATCTAGCAATGACGGTGGACACGGCTGCTAAAGAACGAAACATGCGACAACTATATGATACAACGAAGAAGCTTGTTGGACAATATCGTAAACTAGAATGACAAGCCAAGAGCATGGAATGCAAAGCAGTCTCCCACACGGAAGAACAGCGAAACAGGTGGGTAGAGCAATTTGATGAACTTTTGAGTCGATCAGCCGTCTCAAGCCCACCCAACATCGAGGCATCACCCGTAGACCTCCCGGTTAATGTTGACCCACCAGCAATTGAAGAGATCAGCATGGCCATCAGACAAATCAGGAGCGGCAAGGCAATAGGACCAGACAACATCCTAGATAAGGCATTGAAAGCTGACGTAACAGTAACTGCTAGGACGTTGCTCGCTTTGTGCAGCAAGATTTCGCAAGAAGAACAAGTACTAACAAACCGGGAGAAGGACACCTTATCAACATACCAAGGACAAGGGGTTTCAGCAAGTATGAGAACTACAAAGGCATCAGTTTTCTCTCGATACCATGAAGATTTTGCAGCAGAATGTTGTCAAAGAAAATGAAAGATTCAGTAGACTCGGGACTTCGAAATCAGCAGGCTGGATTCCCTAAGGTTCGATCATGTACCGACCAAAACGCGACACTAAGGACGATTTTTGAACAGTCAGTTGTACGGAATTCATCACTGTACGTCAACTCCATTGACTTCGAGAAAGCGTTCAACAGCGTCGACAGAATGACGCTGTTCGATCTGAACTTCGCAAATGATATAGCCCTTCTATCTCACACGCAACAAAAAATACAGAGGACGACCAGTGTAGCAGCAGCCTGTACAGTATTGGTCCCCAACATATACAAGGGGAAGAGCGAGATTCTACGATAAAACACAATATGCACCAATCCAATTACACTTGACGGAGAAGCTTTGAAGGACGTAGAAACATTAACATATCTGACTAGCATCATTGATGAGCAAAGTAGATCTGACACAAAAGTGAAGGCGCGCATTGGCAGAGCAAGGGCATCCTTTATGCAATCGAAAAACACCTGGAACTCGAAACAACTATCAAACAAAACCGAATTTAGAATTTTCAATACAAATGTCAAGACAGTTCTGCTGTATGGGTCGGGAACTTGGAGAACTACAGAGGCCATAATCCACAAGATACAGGTGTTTATCGACATCTGTCTACGCAAGATACTGTGGATCTGTTGACCGGACACCATCAGCAACAACCTACTATGGGCTAGGACAAACCAGCTTCCATCAGAGGAAGAAATTAGGAAGAAGCACCGGAAGTAGGGGATTAGACGCATTGAGGAACGCATCCAACTGCACCACAAGACAGGCCCTCACTTGGAATCCTTAAGGCCAAACGAAAACAGGAAGACCAGAGAACACGCCACTTCGAGCATTGGCGATGGACGTGAGAAGAATGAATACCAAGTGAAGACAACTGGAAAAGTAGGCTTAGGACAGAGTACTCAGAAGAATGCTGTTCGGTGGCCTTCGCTACACCGGGGGTAACAGGCATAAGTAAGTAGGTTAGTAAGTAAGTTAGTAGCTTAGCTAAACGTGTGATATGTGACATTTCAAGAAATAGCCAAAATTTATGGTATCACACTAATGTGTTTTATTTCAGGTTGTTGCCTGACAAGTTACTAGTTTTTCTGCTTCTGATTTCAATTATTCATTCTCTCTGAGCGACTTCAAGATGCCGAGTTAATTGTTATTACTCACCTGACTGACGTTTTATATTGTTCAGTGCGTTACAAAGCAACAACAATGGATTCTTCATATAAACTTAATATTATTTATACTCACCGAATTTAAAAAAATTGTATGCCATTTGATTTGATTTCACATCATATATAATGTCGAGAATCATTTTGCTTCTTCCACAATTTTTTGTTCTGATATTCAGGTTTACAAGACGTAGAATCTGTTATCAAGAACATTTGTTTTCCAAACGACATTGATATGGAACAGCTTGCCGCTTATGTTAAACTTCATCATGCAGTTTCTATTTGTGAATCTGAGAGGTGGGCATTGGTTTCAAAAAGAAAAAGTATCATACCTTTCTTTCAGCCTGGTAGAGTGGTTCGAGTACGTTTACGGTAACAGTATGCTAGTTTCATTTAAAATGTCCATTTAATATTCTCTTTCGATGAATAAAGGTTAACTCTTTGTCTTTTGTCTGTGAAAACTATATTTGAAATAATCTCAGCGATTGAAATTTTTATGCTCGTCACTTGATATGCTTGAAACTATTAAGAGTTCTATGAACGAGAACAAGACAATGAACCGGTGACATAGTAGGCTATTCTAATCCGTTGTTCCCGGCACGACTAACCATATCAAGAAGTCTTGATATGGCGTAGAAAGTGTATTCTGCAAGCACCAAGCAAATCCTATGATCCCAAGCACATCATAGAAACGTCCTTGGGATAGTCACTAAAATAACACATCAACCGATCACAGCCAAGGATTTTCCTAGTGGGAAATGTGATCTCAGGGTCAACTGGCCAGCCCATCAATAAAACTCAAAATTAAGACATTTTTCAAGCGAGTTCTGGGGATCTGGCATCCCCGACACCTCCCATTTTTAATTGCGTGCGCTCCTAGGGTCGACTTGCATATTGACTGTTGTTCTCCACAGTCTTAGAGGACACCTGGGATGTAGATCAGCTTGTTACTGAGTTTCCTCTCGTGACGGGGCTGCTGGCAGGTTGAAGGATGTCAAGGGGAAGATTTGTTCCTGTTGATGAGCGATCTGGGGCTAGCCGTTTGCGTATCTGATTTCGATGACGTGACCACCTTTCGCCTCCTACGTCTACTTCGTACATAACTCGCACAAATCTTCTGACCATTCGCGCTTCTGTTCAAAGACCATGGTTTGTTCTGTAGTCACGGTCGAACACAGGACATCCCACTCTAGCTCAGTCCAAAAGTCGAAAACGAATCCCTCTGCTCTTTGCTGGCACTGCGGCTCATGGCGCTATGTACGAAAACCAGACTGGTTTTCTCGACTTTGCTCTTCACGAGCTTTCATTAAGCGTCGAAGTATTACTGAGGCTAATATTTTAGAAACTATATTATTTAGACCTATTCCCCTGTGATTGTCACAAGAAGACTTGTGTCCTTTCTTGTAGATTGGGACAATTAGGGACTGAGACCAGTCAGATGGGATTATGTCCAGTTCCCAGATTCTACCTAAGATCTCAGTCAACCTAGTTGCTAAAACTGGACCACCATCCTTAAATATCTCAGGGATCAGTCTATCAGGAGCTGCAGCTCGTCCTCGCTTTAGATTTCCGAACGCTTTCTCAACTTCATTAAGACTAGGGGGACTTAGGTCGATTTGCCATTCAGGATGACTGGAGATCGTGGGTAACTGAAGAGTGGCTCGAGGCCAGTTGAACTGATCCCTAAAGTGTTCTGCCCATCGATCCAATCTCCTGGATTAAGAATAAATAATAGTCCCGTCATTTTCTGAGATAGTCTCACTTACACTAGGATTCCTAATACCAGTTTGCTTGATAAGTCGGAAAAGTTTTCTACTGTTGCCGATCGCCGCTGCTTTTTCCATCGCTTTTGCTTTCGACACTCACCACTGTTCGCGATCGTTTCGTAGGCTTTTTATAAGTCTGGGCCTAAGTTGACTTCCTTTTGCATCATGTTCAGAGCCAGGTGGGATGAGTCTCGGGCATCCATCAGATCGGTGGATGCTACTGAGACCCACGGCTTCATTCTAGCCTTATGGTCAACCTTACTAGCAGATATCACTGCTGTTTCCACAGCCTTCTTGATATCATTCCATCCTGCTTCCGGATGGGAATCGCTTATATGGTCGCCTAACTGTCTTTCTAGTTGTTCCTGAAATATATTCTTCGCCTTATTATCAATCGCTGAGATTATTTCAAATATAATTTTCGTAAATAATGTCTTCTATATACTTAGCGCCTGATTTTTGTCAAAATTATTTACTTAAATTTTGATGAATATTCTTATGAATACTGTTTGTCTTTCTGTTAGATTCGGAATGTGGACGATTTGGACTTTGGATGGGGAATTGTTGTGCACGTAAATCGGTGTGATTCTTCAATGACACATTCTGTGAATCGAAAATCCAACAGAATGTCAGTCATTTGTCTTATGGAAGTGGCTGAAGACCACATTCTAAATAATTTAGATTCTAAAAGGAAACCGTTACCTTTTTCGTTTGTTAAACCTGCCGATGGTGATGACTCTCAAACTGATACATCTACATCAGTTATTCAACTGGTTTCTGTCCCCGTAGATTGTTTGTCTGATATTTCAAGCGTTTGTCTCAAGCTAAACGCATTATTAGAGTGTGACGATCAGAATTCCGAGTTGTTGTGTAATAAACTTTCAGTTCAACCAGCTCATGTAAAGCGGCGCATTTGGGAAGGTGTCGATCGTGCTAAATTAAAATTAGGTGGAGCACTTCCGGTATTGGATCCAATCAAAGATCTTAACATTAAAGATAATCGTGTTAAGCAACATTGCGAGGTTAGTTTTAACATGAATATTGGATTTAGTACTAAATATCTCATTATTGACAGAATCTTATTCGAAATTATTTATGTTGTGTTGTGAGTCTCAAAAATAATTACTTGCATAATGTGAGGTTGTTTCGTGATTTACTTGTTTATGTTATATTCCTCACGCTTTTAGTTGTAAAGTGGTTCAACAACTTAAGAGTTTTCTGTTATGTCGGAAAGCGCATGGTAATTTCACTAGACACATTTCTCGCAGGATATGCACATCAACTTGTGATTAAGACCCATTACTATCTAACTACTGCATAAAAGCGCTGTCTTTTGAACTAATACGTGGGATTCACAACCACTACCAGCAGGCTATCTAAAAAAATTGATAAAGAATTTGCTGTGAGACAAACCTTGCTGTCGCTTAAGAACTTGTTGATCAGTCAGGCTAACTCTCATTTTGTTTACAAATTTTATTTAAAAACTTTCTCGTTTTATGATATAACAGAAAGTCACATTCTCATAAACTCTCAAAGGCTTTTCATTGGCCGGTTACATGACACCTTTGATCAATGGAAAAAGGGTACAGATAAATGGTAGGTTATAGGATTTCAAAAAGAGCTTCATACTCAAAAAATTATCCCCGTTTGATGCATGTAATGCCTCCACAACCATACACTGACGTATTAAATTATTTTAACTAGACGGTGTAATTATTGCTCTAAACAGTTCGACCAGCCAATTTTACATTGGGATCATTGATCATCCACGTCTAAATATCTAGCACACTGAAAAATAAATAATCTCTAACTGTAACTATAATCGACTACTAGAACCCACTCTTATTAAGAATGCACTATATGGACATATAATTTTTTCATATCCATCTTTAAACAATACTAACTGATTAAGTCATTATTGGACTACAGTTTTGAAGAGTTCATAAAAGGAAGAAGTTTAAAATCGTTCATTAATGTGGGTGGGACGTAATATCAAATCACGGTTGTTTTAATGGTATTTGGGTTAAAATATCCCGACAAACAACTTTGATGGTAAAAATTTTGATAATATATATCCATAAACTGTGATTGGACAAGTAATACTCAAAAAATGTGTAGCCTTGATGTACTCTAGTATGTTTTGTTCTACGATTTACTGTGAGCAGTTGATTTTTTTGGAAGAGCAGGAATCTTTCTATAAAACTCGTCTTCATCTTAACCGCGGTAAATAGGAGCGTAGGCACTGGCAGTGACGTATATCTATAGCTTTTCTTGTTTAGTCAGACGTCTCATAAATGACTGTCTATAAAAATTCAGACTGGGAAAACATTCTGTTTTCGAACCTGATACTAGCGAGGCCACGAGAACTGGCAGTCGATCTCCACACACCAGAAGTACATCATTCCCATACTTCATACAGAATAGGTGGAGTCAAATAAATGACTACTTTTGAATCTTGTGTTGTTTTCAAAGTCAAGAGATATATAGATGACAGAGGATTTTGGAGTTCTGGCTGATGAATTGTGTTGTCCGTTTTGACCTTTCCTTGGAACACTAACAGTTCAAACATGTAGTTTGAAGTGTGATACTAAGAGACCAAAAAAAACATTTTGTGGACTCAAATCGTTAACACTGGTGGTGTGTTAGGTGTGAAGTCATAAGAGAATAGGATGGATTTATTAAAAAGTGACAGTGGGATACAGACATGAACAAAATGATCTAGGATGTTGTTCGTGGTGTTTGGACAACTTGACTAAGATCGAATATTTAGTCCACCCATCCATGTCTTAAACAAGCCTAGTTTCTCCTGTTTGCTCGTTAGAAGCCCTATTTAAGTGTTGGAGATAAGAAACTACCTAAAGTCAATTAAACCGTACTCTTCAGTGTTTTCCATCAATTTAACCTTCTGGATTGAAAACCGGTAATAATCCTATCTTTTTCCGGGATTTTTGGCTTTTCTTGTAAAAATCAATTGAGTTCATTCAGAAAAAACTACGTATAGCCTCCAAAATTTAGATATTATCTCAGTGAGTTTAACCATTTGAATTAGAATTCCCCGAGTTAAATCCTTCAACGTCTGCTACTTCCCATCACTTTTAATTAATTAGTATTTCCAACCCCACTGAGACCTATGAGACTTGTGTCCATTCGCTATTCAGGTTCCGTAGAGATAGTGAATAACTAGAGATAAATATTCAGTGTGCATTTCGCAAGGTGCAATGTAATTTCAGGCCTATTTAAAAAGTCAGTTACTCAGGTAAAGATTTTTTTATTTTCTACAGACAATCAATTTATTAAAAGCACGAATGTCTATGAACCCAATTTCAAAACGTGCTGATCTTGACAGTCTTATTGATCGCTTTAATTGGAAAGCTACCGTAAGTACTTCAGATACTTTTTTGTTTTCCATTTTTTATAGCTACAATTAATATCCAACAATATAATATTCTTTCATTGAAATATTGAATCGATCGATTGTAGGCCACCATAAAAAATTTGGGAACACGAGACGGCCGTTTCATTTTAGTGTGGAACTCATTATCAGTGCGCATTCATAAGACAACAAGTGGGAATCGAACTAAGGACCCTCGGTCTCGCGCTCGAACATTTAACCTCTAGACGAGTTTTCTAATGATGTTCTAACATCGATCGATTCATGATTTCAACTCAACTATCTCCACAACCTTACAATAGCGATATAATGTAGGTTTGTAGTGTTGTGTTTGGTTTTTTAATTTTAATTACCATAAAAAGTGTCCTCAAGGACAAATATATATATATATATATATATATATATATATATATCGTTAGCATAAAAATTGTTTCATTTCCTAAGGAGGATGGATGTATATACGTAGATCAGTATTTATTTACATTATGCGGTAACCAAATAGAAGTTTTCTGTTACTCGCTTTCCCGCTCATTAAGTCGGTTTGAGTGGTTGGCGCGTATCATATTCAGATTTCGGACGCCCACACATCATAACAATATGCTCTTTTAGTTTTTCGAGTAATACCTAAACTATATAAAATCATACAGAAATAATAAATTGTGAAACATGTTTAACTCGAAAAGCTTGTTTATCGGTTTCTGTTACCTTGCTGACTTTTTCTCTAAGGAACTTGGGCATATATTTGTCACTTGCGCTTTGATGCTATTTAGTTAACAGAAGAATGTTCTATTCTTTCATGCTCAACGATTTTTGACTCTGAGTAATTGTGTTATAATCACTTCATAATAAAATATTGAAGTACTTAAATGTTTCATTCCCTGTAGATTATTTTTAATTACAGAATTTGAGGAAACTCGAAAAACTTCGCGAAAGTATAAACCGAACAGATTCCCTTTCACATTTTGATGAACTGCGTGCAAGAAAAAGACTCTTGCGGAGACTATGTTTTTGTTCAGAGGATGATGTAATCGCATTAAAAGGTCGTATTGCCTGTGAAATTTCAACTGGTGATGAATTAATACTGACTGAGTTACTGCTGGATGGGTTCTTTTCACAATTCTCACCAGTGCAACTTGCAGGTGTCATGTCATGCTTTGTAGCAGAAAAACAAACAAAACATCACATGATTAATCTGAGTCCTGTTATGACGAAGGCTATAAAAAGTATCCACGTACGTTTCCGACTGATATTTTTAATGAACTTATCAATATAAAATTTCATTCCATGATATTCACCAACTAAAATTTACTAGACGTAAGCTCAAATTAGTTGGTCAGTTGTTCCAGTTAACGATCACATAAACTCCTCATGTTTTGTAAGCCAAATTAGAGAATGGGAAAACTTGCGTAAAAGTATGATTTTCTGTTTAATGGTACGAACCTTTCAGGATTCAAGACACCTAAAGTTTGCGCATATGAGTCATTTTGAACCAAACCAATAGTATCATTTACTGTACTTTGGTTTACCACGCAAATAAAGTACGTTGTCTAGCTTCAAAAGACCTGTCCTGTTTGTTTGGCCTGTCAGGTATTCACTCCTACAATAGTCTAAAATTAGTTTTTAATTATCAAGTACCACATAAATTATTGCTCCTGAGATTTGACAAACCACTTTTCGATTGGTATTTACCATAAAACTGTGATCAATCTAGTATAGTCTGCAAAAATACGATGTACATTTTGGAAAGTTCGGTCGTTCATATTCTAGCGATGAGCATTACAGTTTAAGCATTGCCCAGAAAACCATCGATATGTTGTGACTACTCAAAGTGATGTTAGTTCTCAGATATTGGATGACGTCCTGTCGTGTCACTTGGCTATGATAAGCATCAGTTTATTTGTAAAACTTTTACTTATGTAAGCTACGGCTTCCATACTGGTTATTGCTTTTTCTTTCCACCTCAGTGACACAGTTTTGCATATTATTAATTTTTGAAGGATAAGGCACGATATCTTGCGAAAATGTCTGCTGAATGCAATATTGTTAGTGAGCGTTACACGCACCACAGTAACGATGAGAAACAACCAACGACTTTGGTCCACAATGCTGGGGATAGCAGAAATAGTCTTTTGGATGATGAACAAGCTTACGTTAATCGTTTCGTCGGTGACTTAATGGATGTTGTATGTGCTTGGGCTGAAGGTGTGAGTTTTTCTCGACTTTGTGAATTGACAAGTGCGTTCGAAGGTAGTGTGATTAGATGTATCAGAAGGTTGGAAGAACTTCTACGTCAAATGCATAATGCAGCAAAAGTAGCAGGAAACTCAGAATTGGAAAATAAGTTTTTAGAAGGTATGTTTATCCCTTCCTCTTTGTGATCCATGCACTATCATGGATTTTTAAAATCCCAAGCCGAAATAAATTGTTAGCGTTAAAAATAATAGCAGTTAAATAGTAACGACCACAAATTACAACTGTCTAGGCAGTACTACATTTTTCATAGTGTAGATATAATTTTAGCGGAGATTTACCTCTTCAAAGGATCAGTATTTCAGGAAACCTGTTGAAAACAGCATACCTTTAAATCGTTTCTAATATTTGATAAAGTTCCATCGATGATAATTCATTTATCTTTATACAACATAACTCATCGTTGGAAGTAGTCTACCTGTGTCACATGAAGTGGGAAAAAGTGTTCGTAACACCGGGAACACGTAACGCCGAATATTGAGTTACTTTTATTCTGTCAAGGTATATAGTAGTACCAGACATGTTTGATTTTCTTTCTAGACTTCTGTACGTATACATTTATTTTCAATCTATTTTCATTTCAGCTGTAATCCTGATTAAAAGAGATATTATTTTCTCTGCGAGCTTATATCTTTAACGATTGTCGAAAAGTGTACAAATTTCGGAAATAAAAAGTTATTCAGTATTTCCGTTGGCTTTGGTTTTCCATGTCTAATTGGACTAATGAGGAGGCACATCGCAGTCGCATTAGAGCAGTACTAAATAAAACTTCCTTAGTCCAAATGTATGACGTATATCTGTCAGGAATAAATAACATAAATGGTGTATGTTTGTGGCGGACATCTCGTGAAGCAAAGATGATACAACACATCATAATTGTATGATCATACTCAAAAGTAGTGATAGGTAATCATAATGAACAAGGTAAAAAGAAATTTACTAAATGGATTACAGGTATCAAGAATCCAAGAGTTAGTGAGATTATTTCATAAAAAGAAAGGAAAATAGTCCACCTAACCCAAGAGTCTAAACGATGAATGGAACAGTTTATTAAACGGTTTAACTGCTCTCCACCTCTGTACAATTTAAATAGAACTAGATAAACAGATATGACAGAATAGCCTAAATTCATTTTACTTCATGTTTTCTCAACCTAAACATAGTGTGTGTAGTGAACGAGAACACAGGTGGGGCAACCGGATTGTATTTAACGAAAATTACAGTGTTACTCAGTAAAATTGGAAAACCATATCGTAAATCGTTAATTTGCAAAATATCAGTCCATCATATCAAATTGGACTGTTCCTGTTGCAAAACATCAATCGATTGTCACTATTCATGCGTTTCATACAAATTCCATTGTGTTCTAACTCTTCCTTTCTTGATCTTCCCCCATCTTCTGCTGCCAGACATTACGTTGACACTCACGTCATATACTACTTATAAGTAGCTCACACCACAATAGTAGTAGTATTATTATTCAGTAAAAACTAGTGTACATGCCTTATATCACAATATCAGAAGTGTTCTCATCAATAAGGCTCAATATAACGCTAATGAATATGAACGAATGATAAAAAGTGTTCAAATGTTAGAATAGTTGTATAATAATAAATATAAAAATTCTAGACGAAACTACTGACATTCAGAGTTGCATGATACTAATAACAAAGATGGATTGATCATGATATGTAATTGGGGTCAAGCCAAGATAAAACTGATAAAGGTATGAAACGAAACGAAAACTCAATGTTTCAAATTCAAAACCAGCAATTTCGACGAAGTTCGACAGGGAGAGTGGTAGTTGTGAGAATTTGAATGCATAAGTCTGGTTTATGTCTTTAGATCACAGTTGCTTCGGCAAAATGTGGTAAGTTCGTTTATTAGTGGATTTGAACAATTTTGAAGTCTCAACGTCATGTCAACTAGCAAACAAGTGACAAACAGTCAAGACTTTGAAAATTTTCGAGGAATATGCTCATTAATGCAAACATTAATTCCCCTTTCTCTTCCACCAAAGAATGTTTCGGCACGTATGTGTAAACCGGTAAACTCATTCGGAGGTAAAAAAGTGGCGAATGTCGAACGTTTCAACGAGCACTCTGTTCGTTATATTGAGACCAGATTTGCTGCTTGATAAGTCCTGTAATGCAACTCCTAGCTTAGTATCAATCTCACCAGATACCTAATCATTTGTAAATCCATTTCGTATAAAGAGGCAGGCTTTACACTATTGTAGCACACTTATCTTCCCATATTTGTTGATACACTTTCGTGGATAACTAATACACCCCAGAACCATTTCAACAATCATTCTACCCTCTTCAACTCGTCTTGTGAACATAACTTTTGTACTTGATTGAACAGGATCCTAACTTGAACTCTTTTTTAACTTATCGTGCGGAAGCTATTAAGCCTCAAATAAACTTTATTCCGCATGTAATCTCGATGAATTGCATTTTAAATCTCGTCATTTTCATTGCGTTAAATGCCAAGGTCTATAAAATGAAACTTATTGTCCTGCTCATGCTACACTTTAAATCGTATATTTTGATGTGCATGGTTAAAAAGATTAAGCATGTTTGTGACTAATACAAGCAATGCATCATCAACATGCCTGATACGCAGGACGTGTCTCAAGTTGGTCATAAATATACATGCGAAGATCGAATCTTATGAACTGCCCAAAGCGAATCTATCAACCCAGCGATATAAAGTATTGTTAAATTAGAGTTGCTTCTTGGTGGTTGCTAGACTCTCCTAAAGTTTCGTTACGTTATTTCACCCTCTCTTCGACAGAGTGTACAGACGGGCAACTAAATTGCTGATACGTTTGAAAAATAAACGTTACGAAGATAGGCCACAAGTCTTGTGATTGTTTTTCGCTTAGTTATAGAAGGATGTGCGGTGATCTGGTAATGGCATATGACATTTTATAGTAATAATTATGAATTTATTCAATTTCATCTGTTTTATCTATTATAAAAATCACAGTACTGTTTATTTCAACAAGCTTCCTTTAAGAAGGAACAAAATAAAACTTTCACTTATATATATGAAATTATTTGGTCATAAATATACCTGCTAAGATCGAATCTTATGAACTTCGCATAGTGGCTCAATCAGCTCGGCGACATAAAGTATCGTTAAATTAGATTTCTTTTTTGGTGGCTCCTAGACTTTGAAATCATGAGAAACAATAAGCACGTTTTTTGTTAGACTATGCAAATGAACGTTGATATTTCAATCGATTAGTTTTGAATAATGGTTCAATGGAATTCTTGTCCATAAAACTAAATATCTACCCTCCTTCCACTAACAACTGTTTATAATATTTTTATTAGACTTTGCTTACAACATGAATTTATCATGTTTCTTATATGACTCCGAAAGGTTGAGGAAGCCGAGATGCATATTTCTGAAGAGCATTGAAGTTGATGTAAGGAATAAACCATTGTGCATTCCCAGTTCAAGTGAGACCAAATAAAACTCAGTTAATAACGACCTACTGCGTTATGAGTTCCTCTGATGCAGTTAATCATGTTTAGTCTTGACATATAAAGACGTCGGGACACTCATATGTTCGAAGCGAAGGTTAATAGATTGGATGGTAGGAATCGTTTTGGCTTTTTAAGTAAATTAACTCCTGTGACTATCTACCATTCTAAGTGATTCGGAAATTTACTAAATATTCACTCGTAGGGCAACGTGACGTTTTCAAAAGTTTTTAAGATCGCTTTGCGAATTACCGAGACTACAAACGTTTTCCGAAGTCAAGTTAAGCTTGTTTAAATGAGTGCTGGGGGCATTTTAATGTAAGCAACGTACAATATAACACGACAAATAATCCTAACTTCATCAGCATAGCTACAACCTATAGTTGGCCACTGTAACTGATTTCATGGTCGTTTCGTTACTTTCATATTTATCCTTGACTGTTTGTTCGTCAGTTTAAGTTTATGTGTTCAGTTCGCAGGTGTTTTAAGTCACTGATTTCCACAATCTTTTGTATTAGAAGAAAACCAACATGCAGAAGTTTGGGATAAGGTCTATTCTTAAGGCTCTTTTATTTACCGAAACTGAAGTGTTTTGTATAACTACAAACGATTTTAGACTACCGAAGATTTTTAAAAATTATTCAAACAATGAATCCAGTACATTAGCGATGAAACTGAGAAGAAACATGGTAATTTGGTTCCTAACCTTGTAATAATTTTTTAAGATCGATTTCCAATTATCATCCATCAATGTCAGAGAAATAGTCAAGTGATTGTGACATAGAGTTTGAAATCATTTTAGTAACCAGGATTATCAGTGGAAAGTATCATCGACCTTTATAAATCATTGTATTTGATTATTTTACAATGAATGAATTTACAAAAGAGTATATCATATTATGTTCAACTTGTGAAGCTTCGTGTGGTAATATCTTATTTGTGGAAAGGATACCACCTGCAACTCACCATATAAATCCGAAAACCTGCTTGAATTTCTCTCTATCCAATATTTCTGAATTTATCTTCGTTAGCAGAAAGGTTTGTTTAATACCTGACGGTTGCTTAGGATCAGAAATAGCATCAATTGTCCCAACACGAGCGAAGAAATTCTTTCCTTCTGAGTCATTAAGATCCGATGGTGGGACTATTTGATCCGTATTCAGAAATGTATTTTGACGTCTACCCCAGAATGTCAAATGTCCGATGCGTATCAGACCAGAGTCTTTGTGAACACTAGCCTGAAATAAAAGGTCAAAAAATCAGCAGCAAGATGTTTAGAGGTCATAGCGTAGCCAAAAATCCTTTTGTTTCCATGCTATATAGAATATATAGACTTACGAAAAATGATAAAAAGCCTGTTCTCTAATTTTCTGAAGCCAACTTCATGCATAAGAACAAAAACCCTTAGGGAGACTCAGAACAAGCGAAGACGTCATAGTGGAAGAGGACGCACTATAGTAATTATGGACAAGGAAGAATATATCAGGAAGTGTGTATAAACCAATGGGCATAAACCCCATAAATGATTAGGCAACGAAACCTCAAGGACTTCAAACAGGCTTGTCAAAGCTGCTTTTAAAAGGCAAACAATTAGGAACAGACCTGAAGGGAAAACTATGGAACGCAGGCGATATATAGGTATCCAAAGTTTATTTCTATCAACAGGCAGTTCTAACTTGTGTCCAGAGTGCAACGAACGAGTTTGCAAGCTTGAAGATCTTGGAAATCGTTTAGTCAATAATGACGATTGCGTAAACAGAGAGGGAAATGTATAGAACTTGTGATTTGCGCCAAAAATTGTCGGTATTTTCATCTTGGATAGACTAATTATGAAGCATACGTTCTTTGCAACATATATTTCTCCTCATTTAAAAAAGAACTTCATCTAATCTAAATAAAGAGGAAAAACAGTTTAGTTAAGCACTATCGACATAGGATTAAAAGGTGCTCGCACTTAAATACTTATGGATTATCTCGCACTGGATTCTTTATGATGTAATAAATGGGAATCGCTCGCCACCTCGTCTTTATAATAAACGGAACAAGAATTTGTTGAGTGGATCAAAAACTGTCAGTGATCTGAGTGATAACTTATTTGCATAATTTATAGAGATATTTTAATGCATTCGGAAAAGAGAAG